TGCTGCTGCTGCTGTTGTTGTTGTTGCTGCTGCTGCTGCTGTTGTTGTTGTTGCTGCTGCTGCTGTTGTTGTTGAGGAAGTAACATAGGCGTGGGCGCTGTATTATGCGGTGTACTCATCATAATACTGTGAGGGTAATCTAGCAGAAGTTGAACCACGCTGGTATGTCCACCTTTAGCAGCTTCTATCAGCATCGTAGAATTATCCTGTAGCAAAGATTTCATTTTAGTAACGTGAAAAATTTAATGACAAAATTAGTACATTAATAATCACATACCTTAAGTTTATGAAATGGGTTTGCAGACTGCGCAAGCAAAAGTTCTACGACAGTGAGATGTCCACCAGCGCAAGCCAATGAAAGAGGTGTATGATCGTTGTTTGTTGTTTGTCTATTAACATCTGCACGTTTCGATATAAGAAATTGAACTGTACAGAGATGACCTGCTCTACATGCCTTCATTAAAGGTGTTCTTCCTCCTTCCGATTCGTGCTCCTATATAAAAATAAAAAAGCGCACACACAAACACACGAGTATATTAATTTACTGTAAGGTATTTAAAGATATGACTTTTATCGATGAAAGACATACTAAATCGGCACCAAATTGAAGCAAGAGATCCACAACATCTGTATGACCGTTTTCACAGGCATACGTTAATGCGGTATCCCCTGTTTGCGTTTGAGCGTGAACATCTGCCGCAGATTCAAGTAAATAACGAACGAGATCTAAATGACCCTCTTGTGCAGCTTCCATTAAAGGAGTAGAGGCACCCAATTCAATATCAGCTCCCGCTTTAATTAGAAAATCCGCAACTTCCAAAAAACCACCGCAACAGGCTAAGGTAAGTGCTGTTTCTTGCGTTTCCTCTGTTTGGGCATTGATGTTCGCCCCTTCATCAAAATACGAATACATAGCTCAATAATTGTCCAAGTAATTACATTTTAATTAACATCAAGAATATCAATTTGTATACCTTGGCTTAGAAGTAATGCAACCATTTCTTCATGACCCTCGCGTGCCGCTTCCATCAATGGTGTATAACCCTCGTCATTCACTTCCTCAATATTGGCTCCTCGCTCGATCAAAAGCATAGCAAGATCCACATGCCCCCCACAAGCAGCTAAAGTTAATGGAGATTCAAAACTGTCCGTTGGCATATTTACTTGCGCACCCGAATCTAAGAGCAAACGAGCTACTTCCACATGACCGTCCATCGATGCTTCCATAAGGGCAGTGTGCATTTCGTCGGTTTTGTGCTCCTACCGAATTAAAGGTTACCATTCATCTTTAAATTAGATACTCTAGTTAAGAAATAAAGATGACCGCATCGCAAGTTACCTGATCTGCGCCAGCTTCTAATAAGAATCGAACCATTTCTAAATGTCCTTTATAACAGGCCAATGTTAGCGCAGATTCTTTAAATTCATTGGAATGAGTATTAATTCCAGCGCCATGCTCTAGTAAAATTTTAGCTACTTGAACATGCCCAGCACTAGCTGCTTCCATTAAAGGCGTATGACCATTCTCGTTGTGATCTTCTATATTAGCGCCTGCTTCTAACAATACTCGCACTACCTCTTCGTGACCACCCGCACAGCCATATATAAGGGGTGTGTTACCTAAAAATCCAGGTTTATCTATTACATTTACAAATGCTAGTACGATTAAATATAAACAGCATGTTCAAAATTTACATTTTACAGATTGCAATTAATATCACAATATAAAGATTATAAAGATTATTGGTGATATAACATACCCCATTCACATTTCAAAAATATCTGATTACACTTTAAGTATTTCATACCTGAATTAGATTGAGCATTAACATCAGCTCCATGAGCAATTAGCAAGCTCACAACATCTACATGCCCTGCACTGGCAGCTTCCATTAAAGGGGTACAATCCCCTTTTATGCCTCGATCTTCTACGTTGGCATTCATTGCTAAAAGTACCTAGTTGATAAAAAAGGAGCTAGTTACAAAGCGAAACATTTTCATCATTAGACTATTAACAACTGTTCTTGCAATAAACAATTATATATTTTATTTTTCTTTAACAGAATAAAAGATGTATCTTTGTTTATATTTTAATTATTTCTAATGTTTTTTTCATTATCCACAAGGATAAAATTATTTTTTACATCTTTCCATGTTTGAATATCTTTCTTTCATTTAATAGATAATTGCATGAAACGTGTAGGCATAGAACTTGTTTAAACTTTCAGAACGTATTGAAAGTGTCAAATAAAATTCACACCTGAGCAAGTTCGTAATAACCAGCAGAGCAAGCGAGAGAGAGCAAACTCTCTCCTTCCTCGGTCGTTTCGTTAACGCTCCGTCCTTCGGTTAATAATTTCTTAACAGTACCAACGTCGCCGTCGCTGCAAGCCTCTACGAGAGAGCGCTTTTCGTTTTGCGTGCGTGGATTGTCGCTGCGCATACGAGTTAACGCAGCTGCTGCTTCATCTAATGCACAAGAAACACTGGATGTTAAGCGACGGAGCACTTCGTGATCAGCCAAGTGCTTCCCATCGCCTGACGACAACTTGCCAATACCAGCTGCTTCCAATAAAGCTTCTAATCGTGCCTGAGTCTCAGGATCCACAGATCTTTCTGGATCTTCGGAAGTCAATAGAAACTTAGACGACTCTAAATGATGACCTTCGTCTAATTCGACCTGATCAATCGCAAAACACTCCACCTACAACAGAACAATGTTTCTTTCTACTAAGGTTGCACTTTACTCCAACAAGTTGTATATAATAATCTAGATTGTTACTTTTCAAATACGACAAAAGATCGAGTACTTAATATCAATTACATACATATAGATTTAAACACATAAAGAATAGAAAAATTTCTACGGTTTACATTACAATTCAATATATACTGAAAATAATTGTGTGAAAATAAGACGCAACTTTTTCTCTCGCCTTTACATAAAATACATAAGAACATAACAAAATTTAACTAGAGAAAAACATTTAATTGCTTTTATTTACCAAAAATGCTTAAAGTGCTTAAATAGAATAAGATAACCTTATATTTGGTCGATCTAGATTTGCGTTATAAATTTCACGAAAATAATAAGTGTTGCTAATTAAGGTTACCGTGCACAGGAAAAAAGGGAAAGGAGAACAGATGAAAAGAAAAGGAGAATATTGCATCGAACACTTATTACTAAGAAAATATTGGTTAAAATGGTGAAAGGAATTTTCGAAACGAGAACGAGAAAAATTAGAATTGCATAAGTTGCAAAATGGAAAAATAGGGTAGGGAGTGTTCTCGAAGTATGCTCCAAACTCTAAACGAATAATAGAATAAGTCGTTTTAGCTTTTTGTAAAACTAAATTAAGATTTTTAACTTAATCTAAATGATCGTACGTACATCTCGCGTAGAGGTCATATCCTCTTGCGCGACGAGTGGAAACCGATGAGACATAAACGTAAGTCAGAAGAGAGGTGAAAGTATCCTATCTTTCCTAAGCGATTAAAACCGCCTGCCAGTGAACACAGAGACATAAGAACAATGTGCAGCCATTCCAAGGAGGACGAAACTGACACTTCCTTGGTATACTCGGTGTGCGTACCTACGCGTTCCGTTTGTTTTATCGAATTTTCGTTCGGTAACGAAAATTCATTCGTCGCGTATTCACCAATCGTGTGACCACGTCCCACCAACCGATATATAATTGTCTGTACGAAAAAAAAAATCACGAAAAAAAGAACTCCATGTAACCGTTGTTAGTAGAATATAGAATAATATGGTGGCTCTGCTCTCGACAATTTCCACGCCACGACCACGAGCGACACAGGAGAATGAAGCCAACCGGCGGAAACAGAGGCAAAGATAAAGCAGAAATCTCGTTGACAGTATCACGGAATTAGCTAGGAGTTAGCTGTTAGGGTAAAGGTAGAAATACACCTATGGACGTATAGAGAATAAGATGAAGAGGATCGGAGCAGAGAAGCAGGATCACGAACTCGCACGAATACACGAGAAACGCGGCCGAAGAGAACTCCGCTGGGTGGCGCACAACGTAGTGCAAGCGGACGTAAAATAGCCGCACACATACAGGCGCGCGCGCGCGTACATACATACGTACATATACGCGTACACGTACACATACAAGTAAAGATACGTATAGATATGTATACGAAAAGACACACGCGAGAGCTCGCGCGGGCGAATGTGCTGCATGCCAGTTTACTAGTGCAATGAAAAGTATACGTACGTATACGGCGCATATGCATGTATATATACACAGAACGCCTACTTGTATATAAATATATACACAAACGTACACGTGCGTGCGCACGCGCTTGATTATGCAGTGCAGCTAACCGAAGTGCTTTAACCAACGTTTCTACGTCTACGTAGCTCTGTAGAGCTACGAAAGAAACTATAAAATGCAACAAATGCTATAAAAACTTTGCTTTTTCTTTTACGGTTAAAGGTATTTTGTATTTTAAATGTCTTTTTATTCGATAAACAAGGCAGATTAACTGGTCCACAATTTTTTAAGAAGATTCAAAATATAATTAAAATTAATAAGATCAAACAATCGGGGAAAGTATGTTTGAAAATAACAGGATACTTTGTGAAATTGTGTCGCGCACAAACGATACACCGACAATTTTATCAACCGTTAAACGTACACGTATATCTCAATTATATAACGTCCCTGATGAATTCCCTTTTCGCTCTTTCTCCCTTTGCCTCTTGTAAGGTATCTGTGTAAAATTCGTTTCACTCCGTTTCGTGTCATAGCGATTAGGTTGGTGGCTGTATTATCAACGTTTTGTGTTCGAAGTCGAATTTAAACTTCGCGAGAAGACGAGCGAATCTTTTTTAATTCGTCTATCAGTTTTCCTCACCAGCACTGAACAACATTTTCTCTTTTATTCGTTTCTTTCTCAATTACTATTTACACGCTAATATCGTCGAAAAGTACATTCAATTATAATTTCATATCGTTTCTAGGAAGGAATTATTCGTCGTTTATAAATGAATGCGTTAGAATGAATGTAATGATGGAGAGTGATGGAAACTACAAAATCATGCTCAGATATCGATGATATTAAGGACAGTATCGACATGACTATTTCACGATAAAATTACATTAAACGGATATGCAATGAAATTAGAAAATGTCAAATAAGATTAACATCGATTCGAATAGATTTCGTGAAAAGGTGACGTGTGCGTACGCGCACGCACCACCATGACGCATTCATATACGTATACGTGATATATACGTATATAAATATATTCTTATATATCCACATATATATGCATATGTATATATATGTATACATATATGTATACAGATGAGACAAATAAATGTGAGCCAATATGTAAGAAAGAAGAACAAGAAGATGGGAGGGGGATGGTGACTGGACGAACGACAGAAGCGGCGACGAGTTCGTGCGTGTGCGTGCATGGTGCATATGCGTGCGTACATGCGTGCGCTCGACTTCTCATCGCACAATATCTTATTCACACAACGTGGCATGTTTTTTTTTGCATTTCGTTTACCTCTGAAACACTGTCTTCTTCGCTCTCCGACGAGTCTGCCATAAAGCGTGGCTGCAGTTCAGAGAAGGTCTCGGTCTCTGACTTGGTTGGACTGGAGTTCGAAGACTGGGGAGTTGACGACGTCTTTCCAATGTCGTGGTGAATGCTCGCTGATTTCTCGTGCTTCTGACTATCCGAGGTCGTTCCTTGTGCTACATTCTGCATCTTTACCTTCCAGATGAATCATATGATACCAAAGTATCGTTTCCGTGTCGTAAAACACACACAGAACACTTGCTTTTCGATAATAATCTCGAGCACGATCGCCGTCATTCACGTAAGCTAACACCCGCCATTTCTACTATGGCCGACGGTAAAACTCCCGGATGCCTCTTCGACCATCTATACGATTTCATACGATTCGATGTGCCATCTTTCGTTTTCCGTGGCGGGCAGTTTCAATTTATTCGTCCACAATGATGCATCAACATTCTTAACCTGTATAATTCTTCTTTCTTTTATCAGCTCTTCTTTTAATCATATAATATACAATAGTATTTAGAAGAAGTTGCACCAAACAAAATAATGATAAATATAATATTATTGTTATCGTGTACTATATAGGCAACAACTTTCAGATAAATATTTGAACAAAGTATATTTTTGAAAATTCAATGCTATCAATGCGATAAACATGGTAGTAGAGTTCCAAAGATTTTACGACGGTAATTACTTAGTTAAGACAAGAAAAATTAATCACGAACTTTGGAACCATATTAACTTATTGATGATGAGGGTAAAGGGAAATTAAAAAGTAATATACAATAAATTATAGGCTTGATATACAATAAATTATATACTCGTGATATATATTGCATTATGAAAACTATTTACATTTTTATTAAGTTCTTACATAAAAGTAGAAAGACACGTTATTTATTGAAATCCATGATAAATACAAAATAATTTGCTGTGCACGTTATAAAAATGGTTCAATATCAATTTCTAATACAGAGCAGGGCATACTTAGATCAAATTTTGATAGTACGTCTGGATGCAAAATACCCATTTTTCCTATCACCTTGTTGTAACATACTATTTCTGCACAACGATGAGGAAAGAAAGTCGGATCTGGAATAATTATACAGAATGAGGTACAAACTTTAACACACTTTAAATCATTATTCTTTATATTTCTAATCAAATAATTCTTACCGTCGGCAGCGCGAAGATAATATCCATTTTCATCTTTGTTTGAACTCCACGGTACTTCTAATACTTGTAATATTCTATCCAGTAAACCGTGTATCGTTTCAAAACCATCAGATTTATTACAGTATACCACACACAAATGTCGATTATTTCGCGCTCCAACTTCTACGGTATCATCTTTTAATACTACATCGGAAACTTCAAATAATTTATGAGGTAGCGGCATCTTTTTATTTGCGGCTAGTGTTTTTAATAAACCTGGTAACAAAGTAGTACGTGCCACCTGTAAAATCATTACATGAAGACAATAATATTATTATTGTATATCTCGAATAAAACGTATATGCATACATACACGCATACCTGAAATTCTGATGTTTTTGGGTTTGATATATGAACTGCCGGTATATTTTCCAATTTATGACCTAATTTATCTGATATATCTTCACGCGAACACTGCAAAGGAAATCAACCTGTTTTGTCAAATAATTTAACTACATTGAACAATCAAAAATATCGTACCGCTAAGAATTTTACCTACCAACGAGAAAGTTAATGCTTCTGTAAATCCAGCACAAGCCAATTCTATACGCAGATGATCGGATAATTTATTTAGCGGAAACTAAATATAAAATGCAGAAGAAACAAATATTATAAGCAAATTTACTTCAAATTTAGTAAATTTAATAATGAATGAAATTTATATATACCTCTTCCGCGATCGTAGATAAATATGGTATAGTTTTCTTAATGTTATTATATCCGTATGCTATAGCAATATCTTCGTAAATATCACATGCATGTATTACATCGTGTCTAGTAGGAGGTATTTCAACGTCTAGTTTATTATTTGCTTTAACAAATGTCTTTAACGACATTCGAGAAAGCAAATCTGCTACTTCTTCCGGTGTTTGTTTTACACCAATGTAATCCATTGCTTTTTTACAATCAATTTCCTCAATACGGTATTTCAAATCCGGATAATGAAATACACGTTTATCGGGATATACGATCTCTACTGTTTCTACCGTGTATTTTTGTTTACAGTATTGACTAAAAGCACAAACTATAGTATCCAATGCTATCTTTGCCTATAAATTTCGTTCATTTCCATAATGTGTATTTTTTTCTTGTTTAATAAAAATGTTACTATTATATATACCTTTGTAAGATCCGTTGCAGTACATTCAATCAGTACGTTTTTAGTATCAAGTGTAATTTTTGAGTGATCTCCATTAATAATAGGTGGCAGAGATAAAACAATTCCATTACTATCTGTTATTATTGGATAAACTGGACTATCCTTTATGATGTGCAAGTATTGTTTCAACTGTGCATGATTCTGTAAAATAATTGTTAGTATAAAATGTAATCTGAAACAAGTACAAACTATATTAAAATTTAAATATACTTACAGCGTATAAGTTCATAATTCCTTCTCCAGTATATTCTTTATCTTGATTAAGAGGTATAAAAGAAATGTCAGCTGGCGATTTTGCATCATATAGAAATGGGCCTTTAATGGTATCTAGGTCATGCGTACCAATGGATACTAAACTTCGTTTTCTACCTATATTTTGATGCAGTTTGTCTTGCAAATCAATGAAACTATCATATGAATCCTTTGTGAATGTAATATCACGTAAGACAGCTGCAACTATGTGTCCTCTGATTTTTAAACACTGAAAATAATAAACATAAATAAAACTATTTTATCATTCTACAAAGTATTATGGTTTAATTTTTTATTTTCATGATTAATTTAATTATAGTAGTTATATAAATTATATACCTGTTCTGTCATTACAATTTTTTGAGGTCCAGTATTTGGTAATATTGCTGTGTATCGTGGAATATCTAGCCTGTGTTAAAATATTTCAAAATACATATATCAATTACAAAAGATCAAGAAAGATTAGTACTATAATATGACTGTAATATAATGAAATATAATTCATAAAATTAATATACATACTCATTTAAAAATATGAGAAGTCCAACACTTAAACTCTCTAAGCATAATAAATCGTGTCTATTTGCTGGGATATCAATTTTATATATAATTTCCTCCGATGTTCCTGCATTTTCTACTACACCTTGTTCTTTCATTATTATTTGCTTCTCCGTTGTCTAGACATTAATGTTCAATGTTATTTATACATAACAAAAAATATATAAGAGATTAATTTATATTGATGATACATGTTAAGTAATATTAATTTATATGTATATACCACTTCATCCAATTCTAAGCCAAATTTGAAACACAAATCTTGGAATTCTTCATCCGCTGAAAAATAAATGAAATTTGAAGAAACTATATATTAATTATATTTAATTAAAAAATTTGATTGATATTACTAATAACGTTTGATTACAAAAATGTGATAAAATTTTCATTGAATAAACTTAACTTACAATATGTTCTTTTCAAGGCTGTGAATAATAGGTCACGTTTAATGCTAATAGTCGGCATTTTTGTATAATAAATATTATTGACTTTAATACAGCAGTGTAGTAAATTTGATTTGTTTCATAAATAAATACTTTGCGTATTTTGAAAGTACACTTATATATATATTTATTGATACTTATTAGCTATAGAGATTAAGGTTAGAATCTAACATGACACATGGCCACGCTTAGCTGCTCGTGAAGACACAACCGTGAAATTAGACCCGATGCACACGAGCGAATTTTTTCCGTGCGATTCCGCTGCAATCATATGTCTATCTTCGTTACTTTTGATTGAGAAAACAAAGAAAAATATATGATCGCAGCGAAATCGCACGGCGAAACATCATTCGTGTGCATCGGGTTTTAGGAAAATGAGTTTGCCATCATACGTTTAATTTATTTGTGCTTCGAGTTTACTGCGCGCGCAAAGTGATTTTTTGTAAAGAGTAATATGAAATTTAAAATGAACTATTTGTTTAACGAGTCTGAATTACGTACTCAGAATAATATCTATTACAAAAAAGATATATCTGTATATTTGCAAACACATACATATATGTACACATAATGTGTGCCCTGTATGGTAATAGATAAATAAACCAAAGTATTTCATGTAAGTTACCTTGTTAACTATTTTAAATAATTACTTTATAATTAAATACAATAAAGTGGAAACAACTGGTATGCAAACACTAAGCTTTATTTTAAAAAATCTTAACAATTTAACATATTGAATATCCCTCCACTTATTCACAGACTGACTTGTACATGCTAAAAACCAACATAGAAAGTTATTGAAAATACAATAAGAGATATTTTCTTCAATGAATTAATGAACTGATCATGCTGAAATAAAAACAAGTTCATATAATATTATCTGAAATGTTTTAAATTATGAATACTATTTTCAAAACGATATTTACTTACCCATACAAATAATAGAAAAATGATAAAAGGTAAAACGCAAGTTTAATCCATCCTTCTCTTTGGTGAGTCGTCAGAACTTGAGCATTCATTATACTAGTAGGATCATAAAGACCCGGTTTAGACATAACAGGTCTATGGAAATATTGCCATAAATGATATATTATTAATGGAATATTTAGAAGCAATGAGAACCATTGCCCACTGATTAAAAATAAAAAGTTAATTAATATGTGTAAACCATATTCTGGAATAACTAGCTGAAATATCAATATTCATATAGTAAATTAAGCACTATTTAAGATTGTCATCATGAATTTGAAATAAGCGAGGTTATAAGATATTTTAAAGTCTTACCGGATTTAAACTGTTACATTGTTCAATGGGATTTTTATAACCAGTCTTTAATTCATCAAATGCTATAACCTGAAAAATTTAATGTCTTTAATTATGAATTACTCTACAGATTTGAAACACTAAGGTTAGAAATAATTTGCAATGACCATTCATATTGACGGTTTTAGTTAATATTTTGTGTCAAAAATAGTCATCATCTTTTGTGATTTGCACGTACATGAAATATTGCAAAGAATATTAAAAAAGCATCTACAATTAAAGCCACGATGTATGAAAAAGCAGCCAAATTGAACGCCATTGTAACTGTTTGCAACAATGCTACCAAGTGGTTTAACGGATTCGGACTGCAATGGTTCACGAATTAACATCATTTTCACTAAACATATAACTAAGAAGTTAGTACAACATTATTTTGCTTTTTTAGACAAGGGAGGGAAGGAAATTCATTAATGACTAAGTTTCCATCGAGGGTTCAAATAGGGTTCAAATCGGGTTCAAATCGGATTAGAGACGGGTTAGAGTCGGGTTAGAGTTCAGTTGCCTTGCCTGTTTTACCAGCTAGATGCTGGGAGAGTAGTCCTGCGCTGTCTATCGGTCACTCCAGGTACTATTTGTCCGAACTTGGAATGTGTGGGTTTCGAACCCATTGAAGAAGTGAAGAAAAGGCGTAGGTCGGCCGAAGGCCCAGTGTCAGGAAACGTCATATATCACGAAAAACATTAAAAATGCCGGTCCAAAAGGATTCTAATATCGTGAAAATCGCCGTCCAGATGACGGAACAAGTGCCACAACTTATTGAGTTTAATCAAAGGCAACCACTCACTGGGATTATTCAGGTATTTAGAACAAAATATATGATTGTACTACCCCTCTGTCCACCTTGTTGTTTATCTAAAAAATTATTGAAGTATGATTAAACTGAGATAACATTTTAATTTCTAATAGGAACTGTGCAATGGATGGGGTCTTTCTGACCCTGAGTCTTATTCATTACAATTTTCTGAAAGCAATAATCAAAATTACATCACAGAAAAGAATCGTAATGAGGTAAAGAATGGTAGTATTTTAAGATTAGAATTTTCTCCTTCTAAAACTGCTCGTGATATTTTAACAAAACTTAATAATGGGACTATGGAGGAAAAAACTGCAGCCTTGCAAAAACTAAGTACTCTTAGCACAGATATGACATTTGCATTAGAATTTATTAATAAGCAAGGATTACATTTAATTATATCACAGGTAATATACAATGAACTTTAATAAATCGTCATTTATACAGCTTTATTTATAAAATATATTCTTTTATAGGTAGAAGGTGAAAAATATAAAGGTAATGCACTTGCATATTCGCTTCAATCATTTGTGGAACTTATGGATCATGGAATTATTTCATGGGATATATTGGAAACACCTTTCATTAACAAAGTGGCAAGCTATGTAAACAATCAGGCTGTTACACAAGATACCAGTATTATTGAAGCTTCACTTAGTATTCTTGAAAATATAGTATTAAATTCTTCTGGAAAGTATGGGCAAGTTGAAAAAGAAGTGACTTTTCCCAACTTAGTAATGCATCTGCAAAGTATGCGTCCTCAAATCCAGCAGAATGCAATAGCTTTGATAAATGCATTATTTCTTAAGGCTGATCTATCTAAACGTAGAGCTGTTGCTGCAACTCTTCAATCTAAGCAAGTTAGGAATGTTTTCCTAACGAATGTTATACAGTCCACTGGTCAAGTATGAAATATTAATGCATTTACCATTTTATTAATGTATATAAAAATTTATTAAATTTTATTGCAATGTAGGTTGGTGCAGAAATGGCTCATCAGTTATATGTACTGCAAACATTAATGTTAAGCTTGTGGGAACAACGTATGATGACAAAAATGGATCCCCAAGATCAAGATGCACATGATAAAATTAAAGAACTCAGAAGGATTGCTTTTGATACAGAAGGTGCAATAGGTGGAGATGTAACTGCTCGTAAGCAGGGTCTCTTTGCCAAAGATTATAAAAAGTTGGGCTTTAAATATGATATTAATCCAGCACTTGATTTTACGGAAACTCCTCCTGGAATGCTTGCTCTAGATTGCATGGTTTATTTTGCACGCAATCATACAGAAGCTTATACGAAAGTTGTACTAGAAAACTCTTGCAGAGCAGATGAACATGAATGTCCTTTTGGCAGAACAAGTGTGGAACTTGTCAAATTACTTTGTGAAGTAAGTAGTACAAAATAACACAAAATAATTATTTAAATCAGCATAAATTATTAGATAATTTAATTAGGTATTGCGAATTGGGGAAGCTCCTAGTGAACAAGGTCAATCATATCATCCTATGTTTTTCACTCATGACCACCCATTTGAAGAATTTTATTGTGTATGTATTGTTCTTTTGAACAAAACCTGGAAAGAAATGAGAGCGACCACAGAAGATTTTGTAAAAGTATTTTCTGTTGTAAGAGAACAAATTACTAGAGCACTTCAATTTAAACCCACGGGATTAGATAAATTTAAAAACAAGTTACAACAATTGACATATTCAACGATTACCAATCTTTGGCAACAAGAACGAACTAGTAGAGAGGAATGGGAAAGTCATGCAAGACCAATCGTCGAACTTAGAGAACAAATTACACCCGAAATTTTAGATCTTATTCAACAACAACGTTTAGGTTTCTTGGTAGAAGGTACCAGGTTTATGAAATACAGTGCTAGAGGACAGGTACTTCTTTAATTTTGTAAAATTGTAATGGACTGATTTATTCTCAATAATTTTGAATTTGTAATATGTACTTTAATTTTGAACAGAGAATTAAGGACAAGTTTTGGTACGTTCGGCTTTCACCAAATCATAAGGTATTCCATTATGGCGATTGCGATGAGAAATCAGTGCCAACGATAGACGAACTTCCTACAAAATTAGCCGTCGTTGAAATTCGTGGTTTACTAACTGGCAGAGACTGTCCACACATGAAAGATTTACAGCGACGCAAAACCACACATCAGTTAGCGTTCTCTTTAATTTTGGATTCTGTAGAAGTTTCAAGCCTAGATTTTGTTGCACCTGATGAACAAGTTTTCGATTATTGGACCGATGGTATCAATGCCTTACTCGGTATGTAATATACGTTCTATATGTATTATGCGATATTTTCTTTAAACATAAAAGTGTTTATGTACAGGTAATAGAATGACCAGTAAAGAAGCAGAAAATGATTTGGAGACATTATTATCTATGGATATTAAATTGAGACTTTTAGACGCAGAGGGACTCGATATTCCCCAAGAACCACCGGCTATTCCGGATCCACCCCCAAATTACGATTTTTGCTATGAATTAAAGTAAACGTTTTCTTTTACATTCAAGAATCGCGCAAGACGTCTTCATTTTAGATAAAAAGTTTTATACAAATGAATCATTTTTAATACGTCTAGATTAGTATTGTTTATATACAATACATAGAACTTAATTATATAGACTATACGTTTAAGTATATTTTAATTATATTAAAAGACGCAGTACATTTTACCAAAGATATATTTTACATTTTACAAGTGCAAATTATATACATTGTTTTGAAAATTATTTGTATATATCAATTTGATACTTATACAATGATATATCGATTTTATATTATAACGATAGTAGATATCGAAGAATTAATATTATTTACAATTCCATTTACAAGACTATATTTAAAATCATGTTCAGTCAATTTTTTAGAAATTTATAAGTATGATCTTAAAGGTGTAATAAATTTTTTTAATGTAAGTTAATAAATTATTTATTGAATCATTATGTTGTATGTTTAATATTATATATAAAAAGCGATAATATTAAAGGCATTGGTAAGTTGAGTGCAGATATTGTATAATTATGTAATTGTATAATCAAATATTTTTATTTTTAGAAGTGGAATATTGCTATTAAAATAGTGATTTTGTAATAGCTCACATGATATCTTCTGAAAGTATTTGGTAATTTTGAGGATCATTTGCCTGGTGATTTGGAGGGCAAAGAAAGAACTCGATAAAATTAAGAACAGGACCTCTACTAAATGGATTCAAGTATCTTCCTTTTTTATCTCTTAAATATGAATATCGTTTATAATTAAACATTTCGTTCGTTGTCAAGTTCATACAAGCATGTAATACCTACATAAAAAAAAACATAGTTAATTACGAATTCGGATAACTATCGTAAGTAATAGAAAATTATATTTTACAATTACCGAAGTGCATGTTAAAATCCATCCAAGTCCACAGAACACCAAAGCTTCTATTACACCCAATACATATAGTAATTGGATTCCTTCAATTGCCATACAGTAGCAAGCAAAGTAAATTGTAAATGAACAATTTATTGCTATGCACATTACAAACAGGAAAAACCACATTCTGTAATAATGATTTGTTAATAAGTAACAACCATCCAGATATAAGCTGTGTATATAATTTTATAATTTACCTATTTCTTAAACCCACACAGTTGTATATAAATGGACAATGGTGATCAAAATACGTAACACATCTGTTACATATTCTGCAATGTTTAGCTCTTAGTGGTCTGAAACATCTACAGCTGTGACATAATCGAGATAACAACACGTTTCTTTTCTTCCATTTATCAAAGTATGGGATCTAGAATAAAAATAATTATGTGCATATCACATTACATAGTATTTGATACTACACATGGTCAACATTGTAAAATAGTACTTGTTTAATTGCTCTGTAATAGGTTTCGCTGTTCTGTGGTATGTAACCAGGGTCTCTTCTGTTTGCTACAATCCACGAAATCCACATAACAATATTCCAATAAATGAAGCAGTAATGACTACCGCGTAGAAGATTCCACGTTAACGGGATGCATTTTAATAAATACATTGGATATCCCCATAAGAGGACAGATATCATAAATAATAATATAGGACCTTTACTGTTCCCAGCACCACCGAATAATAATGCCCTTCAAAATAATTATACGTTAATATATTAACGAACAAAGTACAGAAGATGCGGAAGATGAAAATAATACAAACCAAAGTTCATTGATAGGTGGAATCCACCTAGACCTTCGTTTCTGTTCAGCTTGAAGTATCCTTATGATTTCCGAATGTCTATGACTTTTCGCCAATTGCAATGGTGTTTTACCGTTCTTATCACGGGGTTCTAATTCAATTTTACTCTTCTCACACAATATCTTAACGCAACTAATGTTACCAGAAAGACACGCCAAGTGCAATGGTGTAGATCCAAAATAATCTGGCTTTTGTAAATCTACTCCACTGTACATAAGTAACCTTATCAATTCTGCATGGCCTTTATACGCAGCCCAATGAAGGGCAGTGTCGCCGTTTATATCTGTTAAGTGTCCTAATGCACCGGACCCTAATAAAAATGCCGCCGTTGCAAATTTTCCGAACATACAAGCAGTCATCAGAGGAGTTAAACCTTTAAAATCTGCTGCATTAACAGCAACTCCCGCCTATAACAAATTCGTGAGATATAGTTATAATTTTTCTGTGCTTTATTTCGTTTAAGTACCTTCAGTAACAGTTGAACTATCGCGCTATGACCCTTTCGGCAAGCCCAATGTATTGGTCGTGGTCCTTGAGTTCCGAGGCAAGAAAGATCTACTGGTCCATTTCGTTCTATTAAGTATCTCATTACCTATTGTATAACAATGTTTTTTTAAAAAATATACTAATTTTTAATTCATAAAAATAATTATACTAACTTCAATATTTCCATCCAAAGCAGCCCAATGGGCAGGAGTATATCCCCATTCATCCCTTGCGCTCAATACGCTTAAACCATTCTTTTCTACTAATTCATCTACGGCCGTAATTTCACTAAATAAACATATTAAATTTTTCTATTATTTCTCAGGTTAATCTTCTATTGTACGGATAAAATGATGATAAAGCAATCTAACCCGGATCTAAGAAGTTCAAAAATTTGTTTGGTTTCATTAGATGGCGTTTGGCCGGGAGCAGTTTCGTCGGCATAAATATTATCATCAGGGCCATTTCTCTGCTGCAATTCAGAACCCTTAGTAGATCTATGATTTTGATGAGTGGTGCTAGAAATTGGAGTATTTGGTAGATGCCCGACCATGTCGGGATCGGGACTTAATTCCCATACGGACCTTGCTGCCCCGGGCCCCGTTACAGGGCTTACAGGATACACCTACAAAGTTCAAAATATTTGTATAAAATTGTGCCTATTAATTATAAATCAAATGTTAAATTAAAGCTTTCACATTCTTATACTGTAAATGTAATTTTATTTTTACCCGCCATGCATTTGAAATTTGGCGCCAGTTTCGAAGGCATTTTAATTACATTTATATAGGTTGCTCACTTGTGGGGTATAGATAATACATTTTTCGTCTTTTCGGTATTGAGTTTATTAAGTTTGCATATAGTAAATATACTCTTGTAGCTCACCTTACAAAGCGTTGCGAGTTCCGTATTTACTCGCTCGTGTTCGGAAGGTGTCCTAAAGGATGCGCCCTGTGTTGTCCCACCTTCCGAAACGGTTAGTCACAAAGAAACATTTGGTCCTACCATGTTTTCCAATTTCCTTTTTGTCGAACACCTTTTTGTTTATTACAATAAGTCAGAAACAATACCTTCCGTACACGACAATTTGACTAGTTAACAGCAGCAATGTCCGCATTTCGAAATGAGACCATAGCTACGTGATATTGCGCATTCAAATCAATACTGTAGTTGAACGAACGCCTGCGTACTAAAATCATATAAAATGTCAAACTTCTGCTACATTTTTTAAGTATAATTACAATGTAACCACGATATCATAAGTAATATTTATTAAAATTTGTTAACCTCAACATTTTATTTTATTGTACCGTTTCATCTTCGAAAGCAATGCTAACAATTAGGTCATAAGACATATTATATAAAAGATATTATAACTATGTGTATGTCGTACCGTGATCTAAATTATTAAAACAGTTAAAGTGTATTATGTTCTGTAATTTCCACATTTATTAGGAACTGCATAATTTCATTTTAAATTTGAGTACTATTTGCTAGGTAGATGGCGTTGGAGGAGCTTATTTCATTCTGCTTCGTGATGTATAAATAAATATATATATTTACATACACAAAATGAAATTTACTTGTGTGCAGTTGTGTTGAATAAAAATTATTTGGAATGTATATAAAATATAATTAAGTTTCATTCATTAATCGAACATGGCTCCAACAATTCAGACTAATGGCAATGCCGCCGAAAGAGATAAACGTGCGGTTAGGCCAGCAGAGAAAAGGTAAGGATTAAAAACCTTAACCTTAAATTATTTAATATAATCGTGTCCTTTGCAACATTTTTATTTCAGATCTGAATTAATCTGTAGAGTTAAATATTGTAATACTTTGCCTGATATACCGTTTGATCCCAAATTTATTACATATCCTTTTGAATCCACCCGGTAAGTTTCATATGTTTATGTATTAAAAGTGTTTTGGGCAATTTATAATTGAAGAATATTTCTAGATTTATTCAGTATAATCCAACCTCATTGGAACGTAATTATAAATATGAGGTATTGACAGAACATGATTTGGGTGTGGAGATTGATCTTATCAATAAAGATACATATGCTGGAGATGTGAATGCACAGTTGGATCCTGCTGATGAAAAACTTCTGGAAGAAGATGTTCTTACTCCACAAGATTCTAAAAGATCCAGACATCATGCCAGAAGTGTGTCTTGGCTTAGACGTACTGAATATATTTCTACAGAACAAACCAGATTTCAACCACAAACTGTTGATAAGGTTGAAGCTAAAGTTGGTTATAGTATTAAGAAAAATTTCAAGGTGAGTTAATATACTTATATTTCTACTTTAATTCTATATTTTCATTGCATGAAATTTTATTTTCATACTCATACTTTTAGGAAGAAACATTATATATGGATCGTGAGAGTCAAATCAAAGCTATAGAGAAAACATTTGAAGACAATAAGAAATCAATTGAAAGACATTACAGTAAAGCAAATGTGGTACCTGTAGAAATTTTGCCAGTATTCCCTGACTTTAAGGTATATAGGAACAATAATCTTTATTTTAAATAGTTAAAATATTCAAACTTTTCTATAGCATTCTTATGTATTATTTTTAGTTATGGAAATATCCCTGTGCACAAGTTATATTTGATTCTGACCCAGCTCCAACTGGCCGTTCTGTGCCAGCTCAGATTGAAGAGATGTCTCAAGCTATGATTCGGTAAATTATATTTTGAAGTTACTTGTTTGCAATGTGTACAAAAAATATAACATGTGTATTGTTTTAGGGGTGTAATGGATGAAAGTGGTGAACAATTTGTAGCATACTTCTTACCTCTAGAAGAAACCTTAGATAAACGTAGAAGGGACTTCACAGCTGGAATTGATTATGCAGATGATGAAGAATATGAGTATAAAATGGCTAGAGAATATAACTGGAATGTTAAAAGTAAAGCTTCAAAAGGATATGAAGAAAATTATTTCCTTGTTATCAGACAAGATGGGGTATGTTGAATATTATTTATTCAAAATAATAAATGATATAAGATTTTTATAATTTCACTTATTAATTGTAGGTGTATTATAACGAACTGGAAACGCGAGTACGTCTTAGTAAACGTCGTCAAAAAGTTGGTCAACAACCAAATAATACAAGGTTGATAGTTAGACATCGACCTCTGAATGCTAATGAGTTTAAGATGCAAAGGTACAGGGAGAAGCAACTAGAACCACCAGGAGAAGAAGATGAAGATGAAGAAGAGGAAGAGGAAGAAGAAGAAGAACCTCAACAAGAGGTTGAGAAAGCAGAAGAAAGAGGTTAGTAATATTACATTTTTTAAATTTAATTAATTCTATACACTTTGTAAAATAATTTATAAAATGATTATTTGTAATCTTTTTTAGAAGGATCCGAAAATGAACGTGAATCTAGAGCTTCTTCCCGAGCCTCTTCTCGAGCATCCAGTAGAAAGTCACGTTCCCGTTCAAAATCTGGTTCAAGATCAAAATCCCGTTCTCAGTCACCATCAAAATCTCGTTCTCAATCGCCATCGAAATCGAGATCTGCTTCTCGCTCGCGCTCTGAATCGCAATCCCCTTCTAGATCACATAGTAAATCAAGATCAAGATCCGGTACACCGCAATCTAGAAATTCTTCTAAATCAAGATCCCGCTCAAAATCAGCTTCAAGATCTCGTTCTGGATCACCAGCTAAATCTCGATCTGGATCTCCAGCTGAGTCTAGATCTGGATCTCCAGCTAAATCTAGATCTGGCTCTCCAGCTAAATCTCGATCAAGGTCTCCAGCTAAATCCAGATCAGGATCTCCAGTTAAATCCCGATCAGGGTCTCCAGCTAAGTCTAGATCAGCATCTCCAGTCAAATCCCGATCTGGATCTCCAGCTAAATCCCGTTCGGCATCTCCAGCGAAATCTCGATCTGTATCACCGTCAAGTTCAAAATCTAGGTCAAAATCGAGATCTGTTTCAAGATCAAGATCAAGATCACCTAGTGGTAGCGGAAGTGGTTCTGGTAGTGGTAGTGGATCAGGCAGTGGAAGTGGATCAGGCAGTGGTAGTGGATCAGGCAGTGGTAGTGGTGAAGGTGCCTCCGAAAGTGAATAAATAACAATCATTATGACGAAAGAACAATTGCGGTAACACTGAAAAATAATTTTAATTTTAAGGTTGTATTTGTAAGTAACCTACATTTTGTAAAACTGTTTATGGTTTATCAGTTTATCATTATTACGAAAACATTCGATCGTTATATGTATATAGTACCTGTAATATAAGGTACGGTTACAGTGGAATCGAAATATTAATTTTAATAAAAAAAGACATTGTATCGATAATGAAGATTACGTTTGTTTACAATGTGTTGTTTATAAAGTACAAAGAAGTACCGGTAGAGTGCAGTCCATGTTTCCTCGGTATATCACCTGCAAGCATTGCATCATCTACATGACGTATCTGAATTGTGTTTTACAGTGATACCTATGGTAACTTGCTGGCAATTACAGTGTGAATTTTTTCAGTTTTAAGAGCTTATTTAATGAGATTGAATGTAAATATTTTCATAAAACATAAAGGTGAGTAAATTGGATTGTATAAAGTACGACATCTTTCATCATTCAATGATGTTTCACAAACTTAAACGTTTAGAGCATATTACGTGTCCTAAAAACATTGACCCTGATTTATGTGACGCACTATTCAATGTATGTTTGTGGTATGTTTGTAGTAGTATTATTGAAGTGTACATGTACATAAACATTATACAGCAAGTAATTAACTATAATTTAAAAAACTGATTTACTATACATTTTATTTAGAAATTTAATATACTTTTTGTAAGTAGAATAATTTGATAAAAGACAGTACGTATAATTAACGTTTTTATTACTGATATAATGATAATAGTATGCATAAAATTATTAGGTTGTATTTTATAAATTTAATAAAGACGTATTAATTTTGGAGTTTTTGTATAATGACTGATTACAGATGGCTCCAAAAAATAAAGAAAATAGCACATCTGCAAATAAAAGGAAGCGACAAATTTCAGAAGAAGAAGATGATGAAGACTACAGAAGGCGCAGAGACAGAAATAATCAAGTAAATCTTGGTTTGATAAGTTCATCCAAAATAAAGAGTACACATTTATTTGACTCACTAATATTAATATATTCTGCAGGCTGTGAAACGTTCAAGAGTTAAAAGTAAATTACGTACTCAGCAAACATTGGAACGTGTAAATCAGCTGAAAACAGAAAATGAATTGCTCGAGGAGAAAATTAAAATGCTCACAAAAGAATTAGGATTTTTAAAAGATCTTTTTCTCGCACACGCAGGTATGTATATTATTTTACTATGTTGATGAATCCTTTTTGTATTATACCTATAATTTTAGGCTCAAGTCAACATTCTGTGAATTTTCAAGACTTAGATCTGAATGCTCTTCTGGCTGATGATACAAAACCAGAAGAACAAACAAAACAAACAGCTAAACCATAAGTTACATGAAATGCCACGTGAAGGAAGTAACGTGGTAATGATTATATCTGAGATAAAGATGTGCTTTGGTTTGTCCATTTCTAGCATAAAGTTAGACATCTTGGAACGATGTCTACTTCCAATTGACTTGTAAGAAATTTGAGGTGCTTAAAATCCTGATAAGTGCAAGGAGATGCATTTGAAATTTACCATTATTGGTACATGATAAAAGGAGATTCAAAATTGCAAACAGAGGCGAATAATGCAAAAACAAAGAATCTATGTGAAGATTTAATTAATCTGAGATGGAAAGAAGTACAATATAAATATATAAATTTAATTATAAAAAAAATATAAGTTTTGTTTATGATAATATAAGAAAGATGAAACAAGTTGTATGTATAAAGGAAAGTGATAGTTGAGGATAAAATGTCCAGAATACATTTAAATGTATTTACGGCGAAGAACGATTTCTTAGAACACTTATATATGTTGTAAATATGTTCATAATGGAACAGTTTAATCATTCCAATATAATATTTGTATGTATTAGCACTTAAATATTTTACTTTTTCTAAAGAAATAGTTTGATAGTTCGTAAAATGACAAGTGAATTTTATATGTATAAATTCTATATTCTTAGAATAACTATATGATTTATACTCTCAAAGCATTTGTGAAATGTTAAGAGTATTTTTAAGCGAAATAAATAAACTTGATATATACTAGACAAAAGTATGTAAAAACTATTAATGTTTATTTACGATAGGAATATCAAATATTTAGAAAGATTGCGCATCTCGGTAAAGTCAAGTCCTACATATTTCCCCTAGAAAAACGCCTGTCATCCTTCGGTTACTAGATTCAGGCATGAAGAATAATGAATTATTCTTCTTTTTTTCTAATGTTTACTTGTGAGGGTAAAAACAATCTGATAGTATATGTAGATCAAAAGGAAAGTTAAATATGGGAAAAACAACGAAAGTAGTTGTTTGTGGAATGAAAGGAGTAGGCAAGACAGCGTTATTGGAACAGCTCATATATGGAAACGTCAATGTCAAGACAGTAAGAGTTTAGGTTATGTTTGTATACAACGTACTGCAAAATAACACATTCCCGTAATATACGATGATTTGTAAATTTATTTCTTAACATCAAATTAAATCATTATAGTACAATTAACATTTTATAATATAACAGGAAATTCATCCAACAATCGAGGATATTTATGTTGCGAACATAGAAACAGACCGTGGTACTAAAGAAAAAGTACGGTTTTATGACACGGCAGGACTAGAATCTCTTCAGAGTAATGCAAATAACCAGCAACTACCCCGGCATTATCTTGGTTTTGCTGATGGTTATGTATTAGTTTATGACACTGCGAAGCCAGAATCCTTAGATGTACTTTTCCCATTGAAGAAAGACATTGACAAAAATAAAGATAAGAAAGAAATAACTGTGATCGTTGTTGGAAACCGAACAAAAGCTGAAGAAGATTCTCACAGTTTGGAGAATACAGCGAGTAAGGCTGCAAATTGGTGTACTAGAGAAAAACTGAAACATTATGAAGTAAACGTTATGGACAGAGTTAGCTTGTTCGAAGCGTTTGTTCATCTTTCTTCTAGACTAAATCCTCCTACTAATAAGAGTACCTTCCCACAATTGAGTATGGGTAGAAAAACTGTGAAAGTAGAAGGACCTTAATACGTATATCAATATTACAAGTCACTTTTTGTTAGAAAATAATGTGTGATAAACTAATGTAATTATAGACCACTGTAAACTGGTCTATAGTATACTATTTTTAAGTTAACATGACAATTTCATGTTTTAGAGCATGTGAAACAATTATAATCCCATATGGGAAATTTAAGGTACCAGATGTACATGACATTGGCAGCAAATGTTAGTCTTATTTATTTGTGATTTGTCACTAGTATTATCAGTTATCAATTTCAATGGCATTTATGTAATTATTGATATTGACTTTTTTATTAATATGCTCAAATTATTTTTATCAAAAATAAGTATACGTTATACACGTATTATGTACTTAAAATATCCGTTTGTTTAGGCACTAGTAATACTGCGTAACGCGGTAAATAGCTTTATTAATCTAGATCTGGTCCTGTTCTTCGTTTTGTTCCTTTTTTGTACTTAAAGCTATTATCTTCGATAAATTAATGTTAAATTGCAATTTGCGAGTTTTGTTTTGCAATTGCAAGGAATTCATAAAGCGTATTTTTATGTACAATTATTGAGTCGTTTCACCACTCTATCGGTTTCAGCAATTTTTTCAAAGAAATGCTCGTTCCAAACACGTAGTCCCATATTTTACTACTGATACCAAAACCTGAGAAAAAGAAAACAATACAATACAGAAGAATACAATATGAAACACATTTGTGAAGCGTTTCGTGGATTATTATCTAGAAGAATATTACCTAACTCATGATGCGAGAAATGGTGATAGTTGTGATTCCTTTTCAAATTATAAAAATACGTTCCAAACGTCGGCGCACCGTGATGTAAATAGTAATGAGTTAAGTCGTAACACAAGTAGCCTAAGGATAAATTATTTCACGTTCAAATTATGATTTATATTATTAATAAAATAAATATAAGAATATTGTTATAGTACCTGTCGCTGTACCCGCAATAATAAAATAAACCATCGCTGGTGGAAAAAGTGTTCGATACAAGGCTAACACTAATCTCGTCGTTAATAACCCGGGAAAGGGGGGAAATACCAATCTTCTGTCATCGAATGGCGTCTAAAATAAAGTAACCCTTATATTTTTAGTTACCACATGAAATTAATGGTTTTACCTTGTGATGAATACCGTGAAGTAAAAAATGCAAGGAAATAAGTATTTTTGAATTAGCTGGTGGCTTAAAGTGAAAGAGTTTGCGATGCAGCACGTATTCCATCACGGTCCATAGAAATAATCCGAATACGTATGAGACCGCAGCTTGGAGCAATAAGTTTCCTAAAAGTTTTAAGATCAGATTAATTGTTAATTAATTATGAAGCTTAATGAAGCTTTAGTTTCAAATTCAAGACTTCACAAACTCTTGAACCTTGGAACCGCGGAAACTCGGAGCACTTAAAGCTTGGAATGCTTCAACCTTGAAACGTTTTCAGCTCGAAACGTTTTAAATTTAGAATATTTCAAACGCTTGTAAATTTTGTATCTACACATATGGTCCCCATTATGTCAGCTCGTGCAGTTTCGGTAATTCGTATTTTTAAACGACACAGATTAAGTTTATAATAATATTTATAGTTTCCATAATTCTCGAAAGAAAAGTTGACTTGATCTTGACCTCAAAATTCAAGGTCAAAGCTTATTGCCGCGTGGTGATCAGGGTGAAACATGAGTCAATTTTATCGTTTTGCCGAAAAATGGTATTAAGATTTCGTTACTGATTTATGATACGAAATTGAACGATAACAGATATGTGGAAGAAGTACAGTTAGTACACTTTAATAAGTTTTCACCTTTGTTGGCGTGAAACAAAGAGAAGACAACTGTCTATACCCTCTGAAATATTTAGCATGAATTTTTTAGATGCCAAGACTTTCTTTTGCTTCGTGACCTCGATGGTAATTTATGTTAACAGAAAGAAGCTCTGACGGATAGAAATAGTTAACCGATTTTCGTATTATGTAACAAATTTTAACTTCGTTCAAAGGCATTACACTATATTTGAAACATGATGGTATTGGCAATTGCATTGAAAATTTGCAACAAATCATAAAATTTGCAAGAATAAAAAAATATTACCAGAGTGATCCTCGGGGGCTTGCACCCACCCCAGACAGAGGAAGGCAACGCACACAGGTATCCAGATGATCGGAATCAAGTACCAAGGCGTGATCGATAAAATTTCCAAATAATTCGACTGAAACAGTCGGATCTGCCTGTTGACCGGCAAATTGACCCATTCCCAGTATCGATCACCCAACGTACCCACTTGACGAAGTATAGGCGCGTTCCAGTCGATGAGATTCTATAAATGTTTAAAGTCAAGCTATTACGAGGTTTGTGCCCAATACGTGTCGATTGAAAAATCGAATGCAGCGAAGAACACGTGGTTCCTCAACTTACTTCGTACTCCTGGTACTTCTCCTCGTTGTTCAATTTGAATTCTTCGAACAAGTGGAAGGCCGCTTTGGAGTGAGGATTGTGATCGAAAGCACTGTCGAGACTTCGATTTTGGTAATATTCGAAGACCTTCTTCCCGCCAGGATGGTACCTGAGGAAGTCGTGTATGTTGTAACGCCCGTCTCGGTAATTGACCAGAAACTCCTCGTTGTTCGCCGGTTTGTCGCCGGTTCGTTTGCGCGGTCCGGTCGTCGCCATCGTGCACGAATTTCGAAAGTGTCTGACGCGGTCCTGTCGGGATTTTGCGTCTCAATTCGAAATCCGCGAATCTTCGACTTGTCCGAGAACGACTTTATCGTAACGCGCTTCGAATCTATTGATAAGATTCCACGTACGCGACTATTATAGGAATAATCATAAGCTGTATCACCTTTGAAAAGCGTTATCTACCGTGATAAGTTCGTGCCTATATTCGTTGACGCCACCGCCAAATGATTTGTGCCCCCCTCCAATCTGCCTCCCCCGATCGCCCCTCTTTATAATTAGTATTTTTCGAAATCCTCGAGAAATTATCATCGATTCGATACAATTGATTCATCGACACGAAGCTTCACGCGCCACCGTGTTATACGTTTTTCGAATGTACTGCTCTACTGTTTCCTGGTTGCCGCGTGTAGAGGGGGCTCAGGGCCGCTGCGATTTTTCACACGTTAAGTTTATAAATAACAATTAATTATCGCTTGATACGCGTTTATTTACGAATATATTTTTTTATCATAAATATCTGCGACTGACTTTACAATTTTAGGGCATTGATATGTTGGGATTTTTTATATTGTGGGAAAGTTTGAGATTTTGGGATTTTGGTAGACAGTGTGAGATGGGGTAAGATAAACGTTTTCGAAAGTGGGAGCAAAGTTCCAGAGTCTCAAACTAAAGTTCCAAAGCCTCAAATCCTCTTAAATCCCAAGTTTGAAAAATTCTGAAGATTTGAGACTCAAAGTCTCAATCTTTAAATTGCAAAGCTACTGCTCAAATCTTTCAAAATCTCAAACTCATGAGATTTCTCAAGTCTCAAACTTTTAAACTAGCAAAATTGCAAAGGTCTCAAGCTTCATGAACTGCAAGTACTTACCTTCCACATCAAAAATAGTGTTATTAAAAAAGTAAACATCTCGAAAAGAAGTACTTCATAAATTTTTATATTTACAACTTAAGTAACTTAATTTTGAAATTAATTTTTATAATCATATTTTGGGTATCTGTCTCCTCGAGTGTTCTAAAAGGTAGCAAAGGAATTAACTTAATTTTGAAATTAATTTTTATAACTATATTTTGAATATTTGTCTGTTTGAGTTTTCTAAAAGGAAGCAAAGGAATTAACTTAATTTTGAACTTAATTTTTATAATAATATTTTGAATATCTGTCTCCTCGAATGTTCTAAAAGGTAGCAAAGGAATTAACTTAATTTTGAACTTAATTTTTATAATAATATTTTGAACATCTGTCTGCTTGAGTGTTCTAAAAGGTAGCAAAGGAATTAACTTAACTTTGAACTTAATTCTTATAATAATATTTTGAATATCTGTCTGCTTGAGTTTTCTAAAAGGAAGCAAAGGAAAAAAGAGGAGGAATAGACATATGCTACTCGGCAATAAATAAGCTTTTATTTAAACGTCTTGGATACTTGTGTATACAATATACCCTATGTACGATCTATATTTATAATGTCTACGAACGCAGCAGCGGTTATGCTCCTGTGTAGAGATAAACAAGAGGGAGAGAAAAAGAAAATGAATAGAAACGAGAAAAATGAAATGCGATACGGTTCCTCTGAGTAATCTGAGCATTCACGCTGCCAAAAATATAATAGTATTTCGAGCATCGCCGACATAATAATTTGAATAATTACGCGAGATAAGGTACACCCCCTCAATCTCAATCCCATTCTTTCAGATATCCAAATATTAGTATAATATTTTCTAATCTCAATGAGATGGTGTCAGATGACCTCGCAAGCTAAAAATACAATCGCTTCATCGTTCAATTTAAGCCTCTGGTATGGTGATTTCGCCACGTCAATATCCACAGAAATGTTTAAAAAATGAAGACAACGTTATTGAAAAAGAATTAGAATAGAATTACCATACCAGAAGTTGAAGGGTTAAAATTGCAAGCAATGTTGCCTTGTAAGATTATTGAAATTGTTAAGGTGTACGCTATACCGTATAGTTATCTTTATCTTTATACGTTCAAATAGTATCACCATCGATGTTCTCGAGCCAGGTACTGACCTTGCCAAGCGACACAACCGCTCGACAGAAAGATAGCCGCTCTTGCGTTTGCAGGATGTTTGTTCTTGGCGTGTCGATAACGCGATTCACGAAAGAAGCACACGATAACTAGAGAGATTCTGCCCGAACCTCTCAGTATCTTTTGTCGAAGATCTTCTTTCGTTTTAAGTACGATCTAAGCTTCTCGATCCAGGCTCGACATTACCGTCTCGGTAAAACGCGGCAAGCGACAAAAAGAAGATGGACGATCCCTGAACAGAGACATCCTAGGTTCGACGGAACACTTTCTCGCGGTTCTACTTTTGTTTGTCTTAAGTAATCAGGGTTCTAGCGAATCGGAAGTATTACGAAACTCGTGAAGAGATACCGTCTCTCTATATTTAATCTATTCCCTACTCGTTACGACGCTATTTCTCCGTTTTAGGCGAGTAGGTTTCTAACGTCTAGTTAGACTCTTTCGACACCTCCCGTTTCTTCTTTCTCTTTTGTTTTTTACCCCTGAGGTTTGGAAGCAGTAGGAACGTTGGCACCGTCCGGAAGTCGAACGATCTGTAGCCGCGATTTTCTTCCAGCGTCGAACGTTTTTAGACTTCTTCGGTGACGAGGCTTCGTGGGAACGTTTCGACGGATTCTGACTTGTATGTTGCCGGAAGATCGAACGAAACGTATCGTTTTTGTCGGTGGGTGCGTTTAGAGTGAGCGAACGATCTTCGACGCCATTTTATTTTACGGTGGGACTCCATTTGACGCTAGTTTGACGTCTTTCGAGACAATTTTATCTGGTATTATTCGTATATTATTATTGGCAATTATTCGTGGGAAGTCATTTTGGTATGACATGTAATAGATTCAAGTCGATGTAATTTGGGGCAAGTTTGTTTGACGCGGTACAATTTGGGGTAAGTTTGTTCGACGCGGTACAATTCGATGTAATTCGACTTGAGGCGATTCAATTTGGTGCGATAGAATTTAATACGATTAAATTCCACGCGATACAATTCGGGGCAATTTAATTCGACGCTGTACAATTCGGTACAATTTAATTCGATGCGATACAATTCGGTACAAGGTAATTCAACGCGATGCAATTCGGTGTAATTCAACTCGAGGCAATTGAATCTGGCGCGATACGATTTTACAAGATCCAATTTGATGCAATTTAATTCGACACGATGCAATTCGGTGCAAGTTGGTTCGACGCGATGCAATTCGGGGCAATTTAATTCGACGCGATGCAATTCGGTGCAATTTAATTTGACGCGATACAATTCGGTGCAATTTAATTCCACACGATACAATTCGGTAGAAGTTAATTCAACGCGATGCAATTCAGTGCAATTCAACTCGATGCAATTGAATTTGGCGCGATACGATTTGACACGATCCAATTTCATGCGATTTAATTCGCGACGATGCAATTCAGTGCAAGTTAGTTCGTCGCGATACAATTCGGGGCAATTTAATTTGACGCGATGCAATTCGGTGCAATTTAATTCGACGCGGTACAATTCCATACAAGGTAATTCAACGCGATGCAATTTGGTATAATTCAACTCGATGCAATTGAATTTGGCGCGATACGATTTAACACGATCCAATTTGATGCGATTTAACTCGACACGATGCAATTCAGTGCAAGTTAGTTCGTCGCGATACAATTCGGTGCAATTTAATTCGACGCCATGCAATTCGGTACAAGTTAATTCAACGCGATGCAATTCAGTGTAATACAATTCGAGGCAATTGAATTTGGCGCCATACAATTTGACACGATCCAATTTGAAAATCAGTGCAAGTTGGTTCGACGCGATACAATTCGGGGCAATTTAATTCAACGCGATGCAACTCGGTGCAATTTAATTTGACGCGATACAATTCGGTACAAGTTAATTCAACACGATGCAGTTCGGTATAATTCAACTCGACACAATTGAATTTGGCTTGACACAATTTAACATGACTCAATTCGATGCAATTCAATTCTGCGTACTTCAACTTGAATTGTTTCAAGTCAACATGATTTAATTTGAGGAAATTCGGTATGCAGTCAATTTAATGCAGTCGGTATGACAATTCAGTACAATTGATCCTAATTTGCTCTATGAACCGACACAAATCAATTCGACCAATTCCGACATAACACGAAGCGATTCAATTCCGTTTCACCATATCTGAAATTCTAAATTTTTCAAACATTTCCCAGTTATGTCATAAAACACATTCCACGATTATGTCACAAATTTCACAATCGAACCGTCGTTGAAATTCATTATCAACCGTAAAATCATTCAAAGTCCACTAAATTTAAAGATACAAGTTAAGCTGAGCTAACTATCGTCTAATAAAATACTACATTCGTTCGCTCATTCTAAACGCAGCCGTACAGTAACGCAAAACAGACGGTACTCTTTCTAAAAACGCGAAGGGAAACTGTAAATACGATTCGTTTCATCGATTCGACGGAGCAAACCTAATACAACACCTTAATGAATAGCTCGCTATTCGTAACTCAACTATTTAGCAAATGTTTGAGCGTCGTCGAACGAAAATGAGCGTCCCGGGAACCGAGCAAACGAATCGACGTAAGCGAGCTGAGGCGAAACGATCTCTCTTCGTGGTACGCCGAGTTCTTTTTTTTCTCCTATTTTTCCTGCGTTTTTGTCTTTGATTTTCGTTCGGTTTATTCTCGCTTCCGTGTCACAGGTTCCGTAGACGGAAGATAAAATATTGCTTTGAGAAGCACCGATCTTCTCACCGCGGATCGGTAACTCGTGTTTTATCACGAAATATCTCGATCATCCTTCTACTGGACTGAATCCGCTTTTAAAAGTCCATTACTTCCATCTTGAAGGGTTTACCCTGTAGTTTGTTAGGGACGATCTTCGTTATGGGCGGTGCGGTGTTGTTGTCGTCGTCGCTGTTGATGTCTTCGTCCTCCTCCGGGAAATCTTCCAGTCGATCGTGATATTCGTCCAACTGAAAATTTTAGAACGATATTAAAATCCATTCTAATATCCGCGTCAACTCGAACGTAGAATCTATTGCTATGCGTGACAGTTTAACCCTTCTTCTTTCTTCATTTCTCAGGGTGCTATTCTATAGTACACAATTTCTAATCATAAATTCGAAATTCCTCAAAATCTTATCTACTTGTTCACGAAAAGAGGCAAACATTGTTAATCGCTAGAGTTATTAGAACATCTGCTTATCTCCATATCAGTTTTCTTTCGATGACTACCTTAATTCCGTAAGATATCGCTCACTATATCTATTTATATCAAGAGCTTGTTAAATCTATATCGTACTAATATACTAATGTACTATTTCAAAAGTACTAATCTTTCGTAACGTTTCAAGATATTTGCTAAGGTTTTCGAAACGATACAAACGCAAGTGCACCTACGAAAGTTCTACGTCTGTTGGGGTCGTTTGAAGAAGGGTTAAAAACGTGGGCTAAGCTAGCGTGTACTCGTTATCGGCAAAAGCGCAGTGCCGGTGAGACGTGTCAAAGCGAGAAGAAAGCTGTTTTCCTTTCCATTCATTCGTTTCCATAATACAACCATGACATTCCTTTTTTTATCTGCCTAGTATGCTTGGTCTCTGTTATTCGCAAACTGACGTTGAGAGCTTATTTCCATTTACGACTGGTGTACGTTTGTTAATTTCTATTCCGAGGAGATTTTAGAAAAAATTTTAGGAGAATTTTCTAGGAAAATTCTAGGGTTTTATTGAAACTAGGAAAAATGGGTTCTGGTGAAATTCTAAAGATTATGGGTTCTGGTGAAACTCTAGGGAATTTGGATTCTGGTAAAACTCTAGGGAAAATGGGTTCTGGTGAAATTCTAGGGAAAATGAGTTTGGAGAAATTTCAAGAAAGAACTGGGAATCTAGAAATTTTTTTAGGGAGATCTTAGAAAGGTTCTGAAAGTTTGGTTTCGAGAAGCATCAAAGAAAATATCGTACAGAAATTCTAGGGAAATCCTAGGGTAATACCTTAGAGACCTAAAGGATTTCTTGGAATCTAGGGAATTTTTGAAGCTAGAGATCTCAGAGTAGATTTGGGAAGATTCTGGTGAAAACTCCAGAACATTGGCTACCCTAGGGAAAATATTTTACTGCTCAGGGAGATTCTATGAAGATCTAGGAACATTATAAGAGGGTTGATTCTAGTAAAACCTAGAAACAATCTAGGAAAATTTGAAGAAAGGAGAATGGAAGAATCGTGAAAAACCTAAGGATATATTTTCCTAGGGAAAAACACTAATAGCGTTCTGCTGAATTCAGGAAGATTCCACGAGGATCTAGGGACATTACAGAAGGGTTGTAAATCCTAGTAAAACCTAGAAACAATCTAGGGAAATTTGAAGAAAGGAGAACCGAAGAATCGTGAAAAATCTAAGGATTTCCCTAGGGAAAAACACTAATAGCGTTCTGTTGAATTCAGGGAGATTCCACGAGGATCTAGGGACATTAGAGAAGGGTTGGTAAATCCTAGTAAAACCTATTAACAATCTAAGGAAATTTGAAGAAAGGAGAACCGAAGAATCGTGAGAAATCTAAGCTCCTCCTAGGGAAACTAGAAAGCACCTATAACATCACTGCTGAACTCGAAAAAATTCTAGAAGAACCTCAGATTATAAGAAGATCGGAGTCCTAGTAAAACCTAGAACACCCCAGAAAATTTGAAGGGCGAAGAACTATAAGAAACAGTCTCCCCAAGAAAACCTAGGGATAACTTAGAGATTTCGGAAGATAGTTTAGGCTCTAGGAAGATAACAGGGATATCAGAGATCATAACTGATTGCGACAGTAAATAACGAGAGCGTCAATCGCGTATCTAGTCGTAAATGGAGATAAGGAAGATAGCCTGGAACCCCAAGTATTCGAAGATCCTTGGTCCAATTCCCGTTCCGTATTCCTCGTACTCGAGCTTTCACGACAGTGCGAAGCGCGTACATTTCGAAAAATATATATTGTAAGCTAACAGCATTCCGTAAACGGTAGTTATACTACGGACTCACGTGTAAGGTAGCTATGGGAGAAGCGATTAATCGACGTTACCGCACACAGAATGGACGCTTCCCTATAACTGGCAGGTACGTCCAACGTGAATCTTTATGCTTTTTCAGGCTTAATCGACGCACCTCGAGTTGATTATCCTGTCTAATCGCGATTAGTCATCTGGTGCGCCAATTAAGTCATCCTCTACCATGATGACTACGTTTATCAACCTTGTCTAAACAAGCATATGACCGTGCCCCGTGTGTGGCTGTGTGTGTGTGATCATTTTTAATCATTAGTTTAACACTGGCTGTGATTAAGTGAAAATGTGTTCGACAAAATGGAGATACATAAGATTGTAATGTTATCGAGCTGGTACTTTTAGGATACAGAAGCTACGGAGATGGAGAGAGAAGCACACAGATGCATATGCGTGTGCTGTGTGTACCAATATGGCACTGGGTGAATGAGGGTGGAGATATTTTTTTTTGGGTATTTTGATGGAGTTGGATTGTTTAATATTTGCTGTAGAAATTTTTATAGATGTGGAACTTAGTAATATCCTACATATGCTACATATCCCACATATCCTACATATGCTACATATCCCACGTATCCCACATATGCTACCTATGCTACATGTCCCACGTATGCTACATATGCTACATATCCCACATATCCCACATATTCTACATATGCTACATATCCCACATATGCTACATATCTCACATATCCTACATATGCTACATGTCTCACATATCCCACTTATGCTACCTATGCTACATATCCCATATATGCTATATATCCCACATATCCTACATATGCTACATACCCCACATATCCCACATATGCTACATACCCCACATATCTCACATATGCTACCTATGTTACATATTCCACATATGCTACCTATGTTACATATCCCACATATCCTACATATCCCACATACTCTGCATATCCTACATATCCTACATATCCCACATATCCTACATATCCTACATATCCCATACATCCCACATACCGCACATATCCCACAGTCTAAAGTACCTCATTTACCCAGTACCGTAAATAAATGGACGAAGAAGATGCATATGAGGATGAAACACAGTACGTCCATGTTTACTCACATCGACGTCTCCCATCATCTCTTTGGTGGAAACCGTGGTATCGATACGTCGTATACTGCCTTGATGTATGTCAACGTCCAATTTGACACATTGGAACCGTCTCAAGAGGAATACAATGGGTATTGGCGCGATGCCCGCGAAAATAATGACGGCAGCTATGGCCATCACCCAGTCGGGATAACTCAGAGTTACAGGCTCACCCTGGAAAATAAATCAAGGACGACGGGGACTCGTTACATCGCTCGCTGTATTTGGCACCGAAATACGAAAACGATCATCTGTTCTTTTACCTTGACGGCGTTCCACGCTGAGTATTGGGGCTTCTTTATGAACATGGATGCTATACTGGAGACGAGGATGCAAACCATGATGATCGGGGCTAGGAACCGCCAGGTGAACTGCCAGTACGCACCTGGCCGGTAGCCCGTCATTTCCTCGATGTCCTTTGTGAACCTGCAAGTGGTCGGTTAATCTCCTGTGTCTCGTGTCTGTATCTACTGTACCAGGCAACTTGCACATTCTACTGGACTTACTTTTCGTGTCCGTATACGAAGATGACGGATATCATTTCCATAAGAGCGACCATCACGAGACCTATAGTTCCAGCGAAGCTGTCGAACATCTTCAGCCAATATTCTCCAGCGCCGGTGCAGAAAATCAGACCGACGAAGAAACATACTGTACAAACCACCCCTAAGACAAATATGCATTCGTTAAATAATGATGTACTTAAAGGACTTCGATGATCTTGAGAGTATAACAAGATCAAAGTCATTGAAACTTGGTGACATTGCTCGTATCAAATATTATTATATTACTGTTATATTAATGCTTCAATATTTATAAGAATTGTTTTGTTAATAATTGGAGATTTTATTGAACTCACCTGTCATGTATTGCTTCTTTATTCTCTTGAACAAATCAATATCGAAAATGACGCACAGCATTCCTTCTAGTATACCGATCTGGGAGCCCAGGCCGAGTGCTAGAAGCATCAGGAAGAAGATGCAGGACCAAAATGGCGCCCCAGGCAGCTCGACAATAGCCTGCGTGAAGACTATGAACGCCAATCCTGTCCCTTCTGCCGCCTAATCGATCAACGTTTCAATATAAACAGCAAACAGACACAAATAAAATAAACAATAATATATTCATACTTTGTCCAATTCTGTACTGAGACTGCAGGAGTCGAGCGTGAAATTGTATGCGGTATTGTTAAATGTATTTACAGCTTGATCGTAGTCGTCCGTGGTGAAGTTTAACGATAAAAGTCCATGTTGCAAAAGTAAGTCTTTGTTACTGGAAGCAGAAAGCGAAAAACGACGGACGATTTAGAATGTTGTTTTTTTTTTGAGGGTGGAAAGGTTGAAGAGGATTCGTTTACCTCGCGAGGCACTTATCGACTTTTGTCATCGCCTTAAAGCCTAGAATGGCGAATATTACGACACTCGCGTAAATAGCGGTGAAGGCGTTACAGCCGCTAACCAGGATCACGTCCCGGACGCAGTTGTTGTCCGGAGTGTTGTATGAACCAAACGCGATCAACGAACCGAACGCTAGCCCGAAACTGTAAAAAACCTGGGTCGCTGCGTCGAGCCAGACCGTCGGCTCTAATAGTTTCTCTATCTGGAATGAAGAAAGAATGGAGGGTGTATTCATGGGGTGCACGGTACCTCGTGAGCATTTGAATACTGGAGATATTGGGAGAATTCTTGTGGTGACTGGGAGAAATTTAGGGGTATGGAATTTAGAAATTTTTATAGATGCATCGTATTTTTCAAGCTGCATATGTGGGAACATGAAATTTTCAAAGTTACATATGTGGAAGTATGAAATTCTTAATGTTGCACATGTAGACATATGAAATTTTCAATATTACATATGTGGAAATATCAAACTTTTAAAATTACATATGTGAGAATATGAAATTCGAAAAGTTACATATGTGGATATATCAAACTTTTAAAATTACATATGTGAGAATAGGAAATTTTCAAATTTACATATGTGGATATATCAAACTTTTTAAATTACATATGTGAGAATATGAAATTTGAAAAGTTACATATGTGAGAATATGAAATTCTCAAATTTACATATGTGGATATATCAAACTTTTAAAATTACATATGTGAGAATATGAAATTCGAAAAGTCACATATGTGAGAATATGCAATTCTCAAATTTACATATGTGGAAGTATCAAACTTTTAAAATTACATATGTGAGAATATGAAATTCGAAAAGTGACATATGTGAGAATATGAAATTCTTAAAGTTACATATGTGAGAATATGAAATTCTCAAAATTACATATGTGAGAATATGAAATTCGAAAAGTTACATATGTGAGAATATGAAATTCGAAAAGTCACATATGTGAGAATATGCAATTCTCAAATTTACATATGTGGAAGTATCAAACTTTTAAACTTACATATGTGAGAATATGAAATTCGTAAAGTGACATATGTGAGAATATCTAATCCTCAAATTTACATACGTGGACATATCAAATTGTGAAATTTACATATGCAGCAAAATCAATTTTCCAAAGTTACATATGTAGAAACACGAAACTTTCAAATTTACATATGTGAAAATATTGAATTGTCGAATTTACATATGCAGCAAAATCAATTTCCTAAAGTTACATATGCAAAAATAATAAATTTTCCAATTTCCATCGTACCAAAACAGATACCAAAATCTGCGTTCAGTGACGAAAATGTTTCACAAATCTCCACATGGTATTCAAATGCATATGTGAGGTATCGTGCAGTACGTCAATCATAAAGTTGATAAATTTACCTTTGGCGTGTACATGTGGGCCAATCCAGCGCTGGCACCTTTTAACGTTATTCCACGAATAAAAAAGATAGTAAGCACCAAATACGGGAACATGGATGTAAAATATACCACCTTTAAATCAAGCAAAAACATAAGTCGTCGACACAGTTTATCTGACTTGAGCGTTTACGAGGGTTAAATTAATTCGAAGGGAAAGTGAAACCTTGCGATGGAAAAGAAAACAGAACCAATTGTACGTTTGGCCTCTCTTTACCTTTCCCGATGATTGTATTCCCTTCATCACGATAAAGAACACGACGACCCAACTCAACAGCAAACAAAGGACGATCCACCACTTGAGACTTTGCCCATCCTCGATCGACGGAGCAGCGTCCAACGTGGTTCTGTACCAAAAATAGACAGTTTCTGAACTCTTCGCGCATTCCTCCACCGGCTTCCCGTCAATTTCTGGACATTTTGCCCATGGTAGAGGTTCCTACGATTAATTACGCAATTTTAGAATCTTATACACTATCGTGCCGCAAGATGAACTCTAGAACTCAAGAAGTCACGCTCTTGTTTTTAGCAACCGGTTGCTGTGAATCATTCGTGTAAATTCTCTTGTGGTTTTGGAATATGCTTTTTGTTTAATTAATCTTTCAGTAGGATTCATCTTGTGGCGAGGGAACAGTAATTGTACAGAAGCGTTAAGGATTAACACGTTGACCTTCATTTTTGCTGAATTCATTAAATAATTAACCTTTTGTCTTATATTCATATGTGGATATTTATATGATCGTATTGTAATATAATGACGTTTATTTCATTTTAAATTAAATTCGATCAACGTGTTAAGTTGTAGAGACGCTGCGAACCTAACCTAAAACGATAAACTCCACTCAAACGATAAGTCACGATATTAGGTTATGTTAAAGATATAATTATTAACAGCATCTCTACAAAATGGTGGACAAATGGCACTACAAAAATCCAACTAAAAATCACCGAAAACCTTACATAGCACTAATGTTACAAATAAGCCAAATAGCAAACGTAAAACTCGAATCGAAGAACAACGTTCTACGTAAATTTGGAAACTATATCATGCCATTCCCTTTTACTCATTACTAGCAAAGTACAAAGTCGATAAATACTTACGCCGAATTTAATCGTGACGGCCTAACCGAACGCGGCATGAAACAACATATATCGTATTTGTTAATCAAAATTGTAGGAGTCTCCTTCTTAGACGCCATAGTTTTTTCCAATATTTCGACGATCGATGAAAATTGATATTCTTAGGGAAAAGTATCTGGGATTTTCGAATAATTTCTCGTGTTCCTTTGTTTGTTCAAATTAATCACTTACATTATTTTAGTCACTAAGGTAATCCTTGAATGAAAATTATTATTTAAAGAGTAAAAATTATTCGAGTTAAAACGCATCTGAATATTTGATTATTTGGATGAAGTCTTTGGACGAGTTATTCAAACTTAATCAAACTTAAAGCTAAGTTTCGAGTCTCAAATATTCGAATTAACAGAGGCTTTATACTAAAAATTGTTGGACTTATAAATTTAAAATATCTGAAAATTCGAATCATAAATTAAAATTTAAATTCTCCAGTTATTCGAATTATTACAGTCCACGCTGTAAATTATTATACAAAGTAAAAGACCGCGAATTACTTTACGAAACAGTCGACGCAGGAAATTATTCGAAGAAAAGAAAACAAACCCCATAATTTTCGATCGACGAAACAGTGCGCAGAAAAGTTAGTCGGTAATTCCAGCGATCAACTCACCTCGAGCGAATTGAAAAGGTAATAGAAGCACCAGGTGATGATGACGTTGTAGTAAAGCGCTACGAAGAAGGTGACGATGCAAGATGCTATTCCTATACCACCTAGCCATGGATGTATCGTGTTCCATACGCCAAGGGCACCCTGTCGCATTCGTTGACCGAGACCCAGCTCGATTAAAAAGAGGGGTACACCCTCTAGGATTAGCATCACGAAAAAGGGGATGAGAAAGGCACCTGAAAAGCATCCGATAAATTTTTCTATCGTACCGACATTCGTTTAAAATAATATCGTTCGTTAGCCCTCGTTTATTCCAACCGCTCTTGTACACCCCTTATTACCGAAATGAATGCGTAACCGTTCTCTTTTAATCTCTCCCGTTTTAGGGTTGTCCCTGTTTAGAGTTCCCTTCATACCCCTTTTTTCGAGCTAGTCTAGTTCGAGACAGCCGCAGCCGGAGTGTCTGGTTCGGTATTGATCGAGTGACGCGTATGTAAGTACACGCGTGTAAACTTCGATCTTATGGTCTTTATTTTGTGTGTTGGAAAATTGAGATCTTTTGTGGATTTTATCTGGGTAGAATTATTGGGTTATTGTTATTATATGCATACTGTTGTTCAGTATTATTATTATTGTTATGGATATTATTATTTAGTATTATTATTATTATTGTGGATATTATTATTTATTGTTGTATAACATTGTACCGTGTATGGGGTGAGCAGTTATTTTCATTGAGAATTATATGAGAACATTTCTGCTTGCAGCATATTTAAATTAGTACAGTTTCATATTTTTTAAGTATTGATGTTCAATAGTATTCAATAGCAGAAATTAGCAGAGGTCACTTCAATTTTATATTAATTCTAGTATAAATATTTAAGTAATAATTCTAATATACATATTTAACTAATAATCCCAATGTACATATTTATCTATTCATTCTAATATACAGATTTAACTAATAATTCCAATATAAGTATTTAACCAAAAGTTGCAATGTAAATATTTAACTAATAATTTCAATATAAGTATTTAATCAAAAGTTGCAATGTAAGTATTTGATTAATAATTTCAACATAAGTATTTGACTAATAATTACAATATAAGTATTTGATTAATAATTTTAATATAAGTATTCAACCAAAAGTTGCAATGTAAATATTTGACTAATAATTTCAACATAAGTATTTAACTAATAATTTCAATATAAGTATTTAACCAAAAGTTGCAATGTAAGTAATTGATTAATAATTTCAACATAAGTATTTGACTAATAATTTCAATATAAGTATTTAATCAAAAGTTGCAATGTAAGTATTTGACTAATAATTTCAACATAAGTAATTAACTAATAATTTCAATATAAATATTCAACCAAAAGTTGCAATGTAAGTAATTGATTAATAATTTCAACATAAGTAATTGACTAATAATTTCAATATAAATATTCAACCAAAAGTTGCAGTGTAAGTATTTGACTAATAATTTCAATATAAATATTCAACCAAAAGTGACAATGTAAGTATTTGACTAACAATTTCAACATAAGTATTTGACTAATAATTTTAATATAAGTATTCAACCAAAAGTAGCAATATAAGTATTTGACTAATAATTTCAGCATAACTATTTGACTAACAATTCCACAATAAGTATTTAACCAAAAGTTGCAGTGCAAGTATTTAACCAATAACTTCAGTAACAAATATTCACAACAAACTATGAATGCAATAAAAATGAATATAAAATAAAAGTCCATAAGCAAAAATTGGCAGTAATAAAATTTGACTACACGAATATTGAAAGAATGATCGGCAGAATTCCTTGGTTTCTAAGGAATTTTTTTTCCGAATATTCCGCTGCAAATTATTGACCAACCATGTCACGTTTCACGTGATATGACTGCGGTTACACGTGCCAACGACGCAATAAACCGTTTTGTTTGGATATACGATACACGATTCTTAGTTAGACATTCGCGAAAAAGCATTTCAATGTTATATAAAATTGCGCAATTGCGTATATCCAATAATAACCGTTATGTTTCGAAAGGCCATGTGTTTCCGCAGAGAAAATTTCACGTTTATGAATTCGTAGCTGGTAATTAAAACGAATGTATGATAAATTGATACGCATTGTTCGTGAAATATCATCCGTCATCCTTGTTGTCGAGGTTACCATCGATCAAACTGGCAAAAACAATACCTAGATTTTTTAGCGAAGGTCACGAATTTAGGTCGTCAACCTGACAGATTTAGTTGGAAAGTTTATGATTAACCTTATTTGAAGACTATAGCTTGAAAAGGGTATTCCATAAATTCACAGGGGTTAAATTCGTTCTAGTTATTTTTACCTCAATTTTTGCACTTTCTTTTTGTAATAAAAGATTGAGGATGAAGGAAAGTATTTTATATTCGCATTTGAATTTATATTTAAAAATAATATTTGAGGGGTGCGATTTGAAGGATGTTTGTGGATTCGTGTAACAGAAATTAGTCGACCTTGTACATTCATGACCATTAAAATATAACAGACTACGAACCTCTCAGAGAAACTGTCCCGAGGCATCATCTCTGAGAATGTCCTCTCACCGAGGTCGCCATCGATTAACCCTCAAACCGTGGACTGTGGTAATGACAATTCAAATTTAATTTTAGATTCTCTTTCACTTGCGACTTCCGGATTATTCCCTTAGCTACTCTTCCAGGTACAGTTCTCAAAGTGTGACATTTAAAAAGTACCTGCATTTCAAACTTAACTGACCAACTTTCAATACATAATAATATACATAATAATATAACAATACACCTAATAATATAATAATATTCATTAAAAGATTTCTACATTTAAATACACCTATTTCCCCTAAAAGAGAAATCGTATTTGTATTCATAGTAAACAAACCCACCCTACCAGTGCTAATTAAACACTCGAGTACAAAAGAGAAGGGAGAACCTTCCGATAAAAATAACATCAAGAGTCTTAATGCAGGGATAACGCTTGAAGTGATAGCATAGGATGATAATGAAATTCAAGAAGGTGGAATAGGAAGTTTGAGAAACACTGTTACAGAGAGCCGTGTAGAGAGCGTTTGAAGCGTCCTCACCCTCTGTATCCAAGATGGCGGTCAATGGAAACGGCACGAAAACAGTGGAACATTGCGTTGCCCAAAAGTGATTTTCTTATCACTACATGACATTTACACGATTTGTGTGTCAACACCTTTGTCTTCATACGTGTAACCTTGTAGTTTATTTTTTGGATTATTTGATTAAAAATGTGGTGTTGAAAATGTACTTTTTTCGTCTCTTATAAAAAATTGAAAGACTTTATGTACAAAAACAGGTTGCAAAGACTGACAAAGGCTTTAAAGAAAACCTTACATACAAGGACCAGCAATTAACTTCAAAAAGAGACAATAATAATGTACATTGAAGTTGTGCTAAATTTCAGACGTCAGTTTTAATTAAAATTTTACATTGAAAATATTTTTTTAAATTATATTCTGTGACAGCAAGACACTGATGGTCAAACTCCAAAGCAAATAAAAAATGACTAGTTCACAACCAGTTACAATTCTGAATTATATTTTAATCTACACTTTACAATATTTATATTAGAATCTAATTTGTAACTTCAAAAGAAATTTGCATTAACTATAAAGCGAAAGTATGTTAAATATTAAAGGTTATTTCACTGTGGACATTAAAAAAAAATAAAGATAACAAGATTTTAATTATTTTAGATCATCTTGAAAATTGACAAAACTCTGAATGTAGGTCAATATTTCGAAAACGAACAATGATGAAACTCTACCATGTTACGTAAGATTTTAATCACCTGCAAGGTCGAATATCTTAATCTACTTTTAGCTGAAATTTGTCAAAAATGTGGGGAGGAAACTGGAGCTTATTGTGCAATAAAAGTTTAACCATCTAGATCGACTATTTTAACAAGACTTTTCACATCAATTTTTTAAAGGTACACAAAGTATGATGAAGCTTACTGTAGAATAAAATATTGATCACCTATTTTAAAGATGTACAAGCCTTTTAGTCCATGACCAATTTTTCAAAAATACCAACGATGAAACTCAGTACATTGACAATAAAATTTTAACCACCAAATCGACTATTTTAAAAATGTACGTCTTTTAGTCTATGAAACTCCCAGCAAATTGTGCAATAAAATTTTAATTAAAAATTTGAAAAGTGTGCAAGGCTAGTCCTGGGCCAATCTTTCAAAAATATCCAAAGTATGAAACTCAGCACATCGACAATACAATTTCAAAAATGTATAAAACTCCAGAGCAATTGGAAAGTAAGATTAAAGATTCCCTAACGTTACATAACAAGCTTGCAATCGTAATACCGGTAAAAATCGTTAAAACGGTTGTCTGGGCCAATATTTTGAAAACATAGAGTACGATGAAACTCGACTACCTCTTAGGCAGTTGATTGCGATAAACGTAGTTTGCGAGGTTGTTACGTGTATAAAAGGGGTAGAGAGAAAAGAGAAAGAGGGCGAGAGAGAACGGTTAAAAATCGATCGATGCGCGTCGGACGTCGGCGTCGCGTCGGTTTGAACGGGCGTCCTCGACACCGGGTGTCGTGTCATGGCACTCGGAAATTTCCATTGAAGGTGGAGAAGGTCCTGGCTCGGTTTCGGAGCACTGGCACATCTTGGCGAATCGTTAACGCGGCTAGGTAACGAGCGGGTGGAGATCCTCGCGTTCTGCGCAGTAGAGGATCCGCTCACCTCGAGGAAATCCCTTCCTCGGTCGCGACTGATGGAAACTTCCGTGGCGAAAATTCGCGGGGGCGTTCGATTTAACGCTCGACGTAAACCACGCTCTGTGACGTAACGCGCAACGTCGTGATTCCGTTCGTGCCAGATACAACCCCCTGCTGTTCGATGTATTCCTACACTGCCGTAACTAATATTTTTAGACGGGGTGCTGTTTCGCAAATTTCGGATTTGAGGATTTGGGATAGGAGGGATTTGCGTAGGAGGGAGTTAGGGAATTGCGTAATTGGGGATTTAGGGATGGTGGGGATTTGGGAAGGGGAGTAATTGGGGATGAGGAGATAGGGGTAGGAGTTGGGGAATCGGGGATTTGGGTAGGGTTACGAAATTTGAGAATTTGAGGATTTAGGCAGGTTGAGTAGGTGGGGATTTAGGGAGTTGGTAGTTGGGGATTTAGAGAGTTGGAAGTTGGGGAATACGAAAATTTCCGAATTCCAAAGTTCCCGAATTCCAAACCCCAAATTCCAAATCACCGAATTCCAAAATTGTCGAATATCAATATTCCCGAATTCCACATTCCCGAATTCCAAAATTCCCGAGTACCAGAACTCCCGAATTCCAAAATTCCCGAATTCCAAATCCCTGAATTCCAAATCCTCGAATTTCAAAATTCCCAAATTCCAAAAGTTCTGAATTCCAAAATTCCCGAATTCCAAATCCCCGAATTTCAAAATTCCCGAATTCCAAATCCCCGAATTCCAAAATTCCCGAATTCTAAAAGTCCTGAATTCCAAAATTTCCGAATTCCAAATCCCCGAATTCCAAAATTCCCGAATTCCAAATCCCCGAATTCCAAAATTCCCGAATTCCAAAAGTTCTGAATTCCAAAATTCCCGAATTCCAAATCTCCGAATCCCAAAACTTCCGAATTCCAAATTCCCGAATTCCAAAATTGTCGAATACCAAAATTCCCAAATTCCAAAGTTCCCAAATCCCAAAATTCCCGAATTCCAAAGTTCCCGAATACCAAAATTCCCAAATTCCCAAATGGACTAATTGAGGATGGGGAACTGGGGGTAGGAAATCTGTGGATTTGAGTATTTGAGACTTTTTGGGTTACAAAATTAAAAAATTTAAGGATTCAGAGTGTTGCGAAATTGGGGAATTAGGGAATTGCGTAATCGTGGATTTATAGAGTAGGAAGTTAGGAATTTAAGGAGTTGGGGATTTAGAGAGTCCCCTAATTGCAGAAGGGACAGTTACAGATACGAGAACTGAGAACTTGGATATTTGAAACTATGTACAGTGTAATGGAATTTGAAAATTTAAAAATTGAAAGTGTTGGATAATTGGGAATTTAGGAAGTTGCACATCGGGGGATTTAGGATGTTACATAACTGGGATTTAGGGAGTCGACCGACTAGAAATGTAGGAGTTACAGCTACCACAACTGAGGATTTGCATATTTCAGATTCTAATGTTATGAAATTCAAAAATTTGAGGACTTAGAGTGTTCTATATACAGTTTCAGATTAAGGGTGTTGCATAGTCAAGGATTTAGGATGTCGCCTACTTAGGGATTTAGAGAGTCGGAAATTGGGGATTTACGAAGTAGACTAATTTGAAATGGAATAGTTAGGTATAGAAGAATTAATTTGCATATTTCAGACCAACGGATTATGAGATTTGAAAGTTTGAGAAGTTCTATGATTTGAACATGTGTATGCGGGTTGTGAATTGGGAGATTTGGGTTATCGAGAATGTGGGCTTTGGTCAAACATAAATTGGGGAAGTTGGTTTCAGCATTTGGGTATGTAGAGATGTGGGTACTTGCAGATTTGAGTCGTTGAGAATGCAAGTTCTTGAGGATTTAAGATGTGGAAAATTGGGCGTATTAGATATCGAAGTGTGGGAATTTCTGAACTGGGAAGCTGGAGATTTGAATATTTTAGAAGGTGAAGTATGGAAATATGAAAATTTACATGTTGGGGGTTTGGGGATTTGGAAATGTGGGATTATGGGTGTTAGGTGAGATATGGATATTTGAATATTTGGGAACTTGAGAATTTGTTATACTGGAGACTTGGAAATACTGGTAATTTTAAAATATTGAAATTTGGGAATTTTTTATCTTTCAATGTTGGTAGTCTAAAAATTTAGAAATTGCAACTTTTGGAAATTCCTGAATTTTCGAATTTCAAAATTCTCGAATACCAAAATTCCGAATTCCAAATCCCCGAATTCCAAAATTTCCGAATTCCAAAATTCCCAAATTCCAAGATTCCCGAATTCCAAAATTCCCCAATTCCGAAATTGCCGAATTCCAAAATTCCCGAATACCAAAATTTCTGAATTCCAAAATTCCCGAATCCTAAAATTTCCCAATTCCAAAATTCCCGAATTCCAAATCCTTGAATTCCAAAACCCCGAATATCAAAATTGCCGAATTCCAAAAATCTCAAATCCCAAATCCCAAATCCCAAATCCCGAATCCCAAATTCCCGAATCCCAAAATTCCCGAATTCCAAAACTCCAAAACTCCAAAACTCCAAAAATCCCAAAAATCCCAAAATTCCTAAATTTCTAATCTCCGAAACTCCTGAATTGCTGAATCTTCCAACTTTTAGCACGCAATAGCCTACTGCCCTCCCACATGTGCCTCGGCAGTCAATATTTGTATGGGGTCCTACCCTGACCCGTACCTACGCCAATGTTCCACCAGCTCGCGTAACCGTGGTTTACGTTTCATTTCGTTCCATTCCATTCCGTTTCGTTACGTTCCATTTCGTTTGCATCGGGACATAATCGACTTACACCGGTGCGACACATATAGTCATAGGTTGTGGATAGAATAGATGGAGGGTTCAAGGGCGAATTTGATAGGATTTTATCGTTTCTCTGGGTTTTCGAAGATAGAACGTATCGAACCGACACAACGATTCTTGGTATTTCGAGGATACGCGAAACACTTCGAAGACATATATTTTTAAGACATGGTTTTAGAATCACGCTGGAAGGGGAATAGTTCATCAGGGTGACCGAAAATAGCGTTTAGGCATCGGATTGCTGCGTGGATCTTTAACTAAATCGATTCTTCTTCTTATACACATATCATTTTCAAGTTCAAATTTCATTTATTTTTCTTCACTTTTGTATACTTTCATTTTCTTCATAGTATAGTATTTTTATTTTATTTTTGATCGATAAAGAATGCCAGATGTATAATGGACTTGATATCCACGCCAAAAAATTTGATTTTCGACTGCATTTTCTACTTTCACAGAACTATGACGTATGACACATATGTTCACCAACATGTGAGTGACAATATGTTCAAAGTGCGACTGTTTGATTAAAATATTTGCTTTTCTCGCATAGGGGATTGATACTGATTTCAACATATAATCTAGATAAGGATTTAAAAAAAATATATAAAAATAATGGTTATTCTTGTGAAATAGAAATTTGTTTCACTGTGAGTAGAGTATTGGGTTTCTATGATAACAGTTTCAATTACTTAAGTGTGAAGATTAGACTTAACCTTCATATGCCATACAGGAAATTTAAATTACTTTTAGTTTTTACATTTTATCTTCTAATACTCTGTTTACTATCAGATCTCTGTGGCTCGCAGTGAAAATGTTCGTGTGTCAGACATAGAACTTATTTCAGGTTTACTAATTTACAGTTCGAAATCATAAATACACAAATTAGATGGAACTGCATATTGTTTATATAGATTTCTTGGAACATTCCGTTGTGTTTTTATTTGTCATTGATTTTTTTCTTAAGACGAACTGCATATAATGTTTCTTCTAGCGAGAAGTGTTTAGACTACAATGTTAAGGAAATCGATGATGCTTTTCTATGCAGAATTATTTCTTTCTCATGTATGTTGATCGTAAGAATTAATTCTATAGGTGTTCTACAAAAATCAGTTCTGGGGATTAAATATAAAAATGAGTACTCTAAGAATTCTAACGGTCAACACCTTAAAAACGATGGTAACAAAATAGAGATGTTATATCGTTCAACTTTTCCTCGCGGTCTTTGCATTTCCAAGCTATTTAAAGACCTCGCTCGAAATCTGCAACTTACACTCGTAACATGGTTATCAATTTGTATTCGGAGCGATTAAAAAAAAAATGTTAATCACGACAGCTCACCTCCTCCGTTCTGTTGGCACAGGTAAGGGAATCTCCATATATTCCCGAGTCCCACGCTGTAGCCGATAATACTGAGGAAAAATTGCATTTTGCCGCTCCATGCCGCTCTGTTGTCCTCCTTGGTTTCCTGGCTGGTAGCAGCATTTTGACTTCCGGTCACGACGATTGTCACGTTCTGGCCAGCCTGACGTTCCTCGTTCAACGGAGCCAGCTCATGCCCATTTCTCGTGTTCTCGTTCTTGACTACCATTCTTCGTTCCGGAGTCACTTGTTTCAAAGCCAAACCTCTCCTGTCGTTAAAACGCGTCGACCGAAGGTGTAAAGAGCGCGTGCGAATTTGAAATCGCCGCGATCCAAGCGGATCTCACGGGCAAGAGTAAAACAGCGACAGCAGCGACAAGGCCGCTCGTCGAGTGCAACAACAGTAACAATAACAACGATGATGTCGAGGACAAGGATCGTGAACGGTGGCAGTCGAACAAAAGGCCCAACGATTCTCGATCGTCTAATTGGAAGAATAGCTTGTTCTTCCGCGTGTTACTCGAGCATAAGGAAAATAAAAGATTCCTCAGGGTAACGAGGAAGGCATGCCTGGTAAGAACCCGCCTATTCGTCGAACAGGCTCCCACGCGGGCTGTTTTCTGCGAACAGCGGACGGGAGGGACCTCCTTAAGGTATTCTTCGTCTCCCTGTTATTCGGTCTGCTCAGAGTCTTATTGTTCTTCAGCATCGATCAAGCCAGGATCGTTCGAATTCCTGTCTGGAGGACGATCGATACGACAGCGATTAACGGAATCTCTGACACGATTCGGATCGAGCGATTCCCGTAGCGGGCGCAGACAGCACGCTTCTCGAGCGGGATCGAAGCATCGAGATGAGATCCGCACAATCACACTTTAACTCTCGATGGAAGCCCACGTTTCACGTATCTGTACTATCCCGCATGCCCTCTTTTCCCTCGGTTTTCTCCTCTTTCGTCTTCCGTTGATCGCAGCGTTCCTCTCGATTGCGTCTGACATATAAGCCGGTCGTCCTCAGATCGCGGAAGAAACCGATTCGGGCATCGTTTAATTTATTTCGATCGAACGGTCCTCTGGCGTACGCTGGAACGTGGACGACTGACGCGTGGACGACGGAACGAACAGGCGATTTTAGGAGCCATGTAGCCCTCCCACCTCTTCGACGGCTATTTTTCTCTTCCGTTTCTCCGATTTTTATTTCTATTTCGTCCCGCGCGAATTCTTTCCTTTCCCGACTGAACTGCCTCGAAGGAGAACTCTAGCAACGCGCCCCGTACATACGAACGTCGATAACCAACTGAACCATCGAGTTCGAGCGACTATGGTTCTGGCCAGCCTGACGTTCCTCGTTCAACGGAGCCAGCTCATGCCCATTTCTCGTGTTCTCGTTCTTGACTACCATTCTTCGTTCCGGAGTCACTTGTTTCAAAGCCAAACCTCTCCTGTCGTTAAAACGCGTCGACCGAAGGTGTAAAGAGCGCGTGCGAATTTGAAATCGCCGCGATCCAAGCGGATCTCACGGGCAAGAGTAAAACAGCGACAGCAGCGACAAGGCCGCTCGTCGAGTGCAACAACAGTAACAATAACAACGATGATGTCGAGGACAAGGATCGTGAACGGTGGCAGTCGAACAAAAGGCCCAACGATTCTCGATCGTCTAATTGGAAGAATAGCTTGTTCTTCCGCGTGTTACTCGAGCATAAGGAAAATAAAAGATTCCTCAGGGTAACGAGGAAGGCATGCCTGGTAAGAACCCGCCTATTCGTCGAACAGGCTCCCACGCGGGCTGTTTTCTGCGAACAGCGGACGGGAGGGACCTCCTTAAGGTATTCTTCGTCTCCCTGTTATTCGGTCTGCTCAGAGTCTTATTGTTCTTCAGCATCGATCAAGCCAGGATCGTTCGAATTCCTGTCTGGAGGACGATCGATACGACAGCGATTAACGGAATCTCTGACACGATTCGGATCGAGCGATTCCCGTAGCGGGCGCAGACAGCACGCTTCTCGAGCGGGATCGAAGCATCGAGATGAGATCCGCACAATCACACTTTAACTCTCGATGGAAGCCCACGTTTCACGTATCTGTACTATCCCGCATGCCCTCTTTTCCCTCGGTTTTCTCCTCTTTCGTCTTCCGTTGATCGCAGCGTTCCTCTCGATTGCGTCTGACATATAAGCCGGTCGTCCTCAGATCGCGGAAGAAACCGATTCGGGCATCGTTTAATTTATTTCGATCGAACGGTCCTCTGGCGTACGCTGGAACGTGGACGACTGACGCGTGGACGACGGAACGAACAGGCGATTTTAGGAGCCATGTAGCCCTCCCACCTCTTCGACGGCTATTTTTCTCTTCCGTTTCTCCGATTTTTATTTCTATTTCGTCCCGCGCGAATTCTTTCCTTTCCCGACTGAACTGCCTCGAAGGAGAACTCTAGCAACGCGCCCCGTACATACGAACGTCGATAACCAACTGAACCATCGAGTTCGAGCGACTATGCGCGCGCGCGCGCACGCCTTTACGCACGCACGCGAGGGAACGAAGCGGAACCTGGAGCTTCGACGAACTTTTGCACAGCTTTCAATACGCGATCGGCCCTGGTGATCGTGTAGTACACGAGACCCGTAACGAATACTTTTAACGGACCTCACGAACAAGCGATGTCCGCTTCCCCTCGGAGAGGAGACTGTGCCGCGAGTTGAGACCACGGCCGAGTTCTCGATGGACTTCATTCGAAATTATGGAAGGGAGAACTGCTGATCTAGGAATAAGGCCGACGAAAATTTTCCAAGGAAGAGGATGAGTGTTTTAGAGTATTAACGACGCTGGCCTCCGCTTGCTGAAAAACCGAGCTGCGCGAGCGCGGTCCCGGTTAAACATCGATCCTACGCGCAGCCAATCCCTGCCATTCTTGTCCTACTCGATTACTACATGATCTCGACTTCCTTCGAGAATTTGCAAATACGGTGGACAATCGACGATGGACTATTTGTTTCAATATGTAGAGATAACGCACTCTTTCAGGAGCGAATTCTGGGTTTTAGATTCTTAGATTTTTGGGTTTTGAAGTTCTTGAGAATTTTGAATACTGTAGGTGTTGAATTAGGTTTCTTGATTTTGAAGTTCATGAAGGGTTTTTTGGTTCTTGAGTTTGGACTCTTTTTTGTGTTCTTAAATATTGGAGTTCTGAAATTATAGAATTGTAGGAAGGTTACTATATTGTCACTATTACTAAATTAGACTCTTGAATGTATAAGTTTAACAGTATATAAATTTTGAAGTCCCTGATGTTTTAAAACTTTAGGTTTAGGAATTTGGAATTTTTAGATATCAAGAGAAAGTGAAATTTTTTAATCCTCATCTATTTAGAAGTCTAAATATACAAGTTTTTGAAACTTCAAATTTTCAAGTCTTTAAATCCTTTGATTCTTAAATTATCAAGTTTCAAAATCCTCTAATTTTAATATTCTTAATTTACCAAATCTTCAAATCCTCAAATTCTGAAGTCTCCTAATCCGCTAATCCTAAAATTATCAAGTTTCAAAATCCTCTAATTTTAATATTCTTAATTTACAAAATCCTCAAATTCTGAAGTCTCCTAATCCTCTAATCCTAAAATTCTCAAGTTTCAAAATCCTCTAATTTTAATATTCTTAAATTTCCAAATCCTCAAAAGCACAAATTCTGAAGTCTCTAAATCCTCAAATCCTTAAATTCTGAAGATTTCAAATCCTCCACTCTTGAAACACCTAAGTTTCCAAATCTAGTCCTCAAATTCTCAAGTGTCCAAATCCTCAAAATCCAACTTCTCAAATTTCTAAATTTCCGTATCTTCAAATCTTGAAAACCCTAAGTTCCTAAAGTGCTAAACCTTCGTATCTTCTAATCCCTACACCAGTAATCTCCTAAATCCTCGAGTCCTTGAATCTTTAATTCCTGAAATTCCTAACTGAGCAAATCCTCGAATGTCCATAACATTAAACCCCGAAATATCGAAATTGAAAAAAATTGCAAATTTGAAAGAGTATTAACATCTGATAATTTCTGTCTCAGAGCACATTCTTCTATACGTACAATTTCAGTGGATCGATGGTTCTACGACATTTAACGCCCTTCTAAAATTTTGGCTTCTCGCTTTGCTGCCCCGAATACGTGAATGGAAATTCATAGAAGTCTTAGTTTGATGTCCTTTGCCAAAAGTAGTATTTTCATTTTCAGTGGAATGCTCTTATACTTCATTTCATCCAAATTACAAAAAATTACAAGTATTTGAAAAATTACGAGTTTGTACAAAATAAAAAATTATCAGTTATAATAAAAAAGTATCAGTCACAATCTCAGACGCAGAATAAAATTAAAACGAAAGTCGTCGTGTAATGAGAAGCCGAAAGTAAGCACGTGACCGACGTACACGGTCGAAGTGAAAAGGACAGAATAAGAGATCGATAAACGATCGATCCAGCACGAACAGAAAATATATAATCATTACAGCAATAATAATCCACCTATTTTGATTAATATTTTGCAAGTAGAAATTTGTACAATTTTGAGACCTTGACAATGATTAACCGGAATAGTAATATTCCAATAAATAATACAACGTTGAAATAACCTCACACACATAATTGTGCCCTCATTCACCGTTGACATTGCGGACCCGCGTTGGCTGTCATCTTGTAGATACGTACTACGTATGTCTGCATACCGAACTGAAATTACTATTCATATCACCATAATTTTCACTTATATCTTCAGAATTTCCATTACTTGAAAATTACCGTGCATTACAGTTAATTTGCATTGGTATATTTGCCCTTGTATCACTACATTTTCCGGGAAAGTGTTAGGTTCTCTTGAATTCTTTAGGGTCCCTAGGGAGTTCAGATTCCCTGCTTGAGAGTTACGAATTATAGTTACTTTGGTAAAATCTTTTTTACTATATTTTTATTTTCCTCGAGAAAATCTGCACTGGAATCATTAGAGTCCTTAAAAGGTTATGTTCTGTAAAATCTCTAGGGTCCCTAGAATCTTTGTCACTTGACAATTACTGAGAATTATAATTTCTTTGAATGGTAGAAACTTCTTGTACTATATTTCCTTTTCCTCGGAAAAATCCTCACTAGAATTCCTAGAGTACTAAATCTTAACAAATTGTATTTCGCCAAAGTCCCTAAGGTCCCTAGAATGTCCATCACTAGAGATACCATAGATTACAGTGATTTTGCACTAGTAATGGAATCTTTTCTCATATTTCTGTTATTTTCAACAAAATCCACATTAGAATTTCTATAATCCAAGTCCCACCACACTATGCTTCCTAGGGTCCCTATAGTCCTTAGAATCTATAGTCCCTAGAGTCTCCATCACTTAAAAGTTACCACAAATTATAGTTACTTTGCACGAATAGTAAGATGTTCCTCCACATTCCCATTTATCGCAGTAAAATCAATACTTCATTCCTTAAAATCTCCAAAGCCTCCTACGTTCCCACATTCCCCACACCGTGTTTTGGCACCAGTGCACCTCCAGTTATATCGCCATTTTCAATAACAGATCCCCATCGCAACAAATAGTCAGAAACTAGGCACAAGTAGCATAAATTCGTGATATCTCTCGAGCGGGTAATATAGCGAGGGGGCGAGAAGCCATGAACCGGAGAAGAACGGCCGCGGTATTTATGTATAATGCACCCTTGACCCTTTTGGCACAGCCTCGTCTCGATTTATCGGATCGAATTCAACGAACCGCGCTTTTTGAACTCGTTAGTGTCATCTGCAGCAAGTGGCCGCCGATAACTCGTTTACACGAGGCGAAACGTTCATTTGGTCCGTTGATCGAATCTCGGCATTTTCGCGTAATGGTTCCTACGAGATGGCGAACGGGAACGCCGGTCGTGAACAGATATTACGCGGGACGGAAACTGGCACGAAATTTTCATAAGCAGCAGCAGCAGCAAGTAACCGTGTACGAACGACGAGGGTACTCATTTATGAGAACTATCATCGACTCAATAACCGTGTCAAGGGCACATCGTACCGAACCACGTTGAAGAAATCAATTTGTTTAATAAATATATCGCCCGCGAAGCGGTACGATCCCGTCCGTTTTTACGGTACGATTGATTTTCAGCATGATTGAGACGCGAATTTCCGTTCGCTGGATTCCCTAGCCGTCGATAACGCTATTATTCAAATTCCGAGCTGACGTAATCCATCAGAGATATTGAACGGCATCGTCATACTAGATACTTTGCTCTAACGGTACTCTTTCGAACCGTGTAGAGACGTAACACGGATTTTGGGCTGCAGGAATTTTTTGGTATAGGGATTTTGGGATGTAGGGATATAGAAATTTTCAGAAATAGAAATTTTCGGATTTTGGGATATAGGGATTTCGGGATTTTAAGTTCTAGGGATTTTTTGATCTAGGAAGTTTGGGGTCTAGGGATTTTTGGAGCTAGGGGTTGTGGGATCTAGGATTTTGGGGATTTGGAGATATTGGGATCTAGGGATTTTGGATTTTAGGATTTTGGGATCTAGGGATTGGGGGATCTAGGGGTTGGGGGATCTAGGGATTTGGGGATCTAGGGATTTGGGGATCTAGGGATTTGGGGATCTAGGGATTTGGGGATCTAGGGATTTGGGGATCTAGGGATTTGGGGATCTAGGGATTTGGGGATCTAGGGATTTGGGGATCTAGGGATTTGGGGATCTAGGGATTTGGGGATCTAGGGATTTGGGGATCTAGGGATTTGGGGATCTAGGGATTTGGGGATCTAGATCTAGGGATTTGGGAATCTAGGGATTTGGGGATCTAGAGATTTGAGGATCTGGGGATTTGGGGATCCAGGGATTTGGGAATCTAGGGATTTGGGAATCTAGGGATTTGGGGATCTAGAGATTTGAGGATCTAGAGATTCTGAGATCTAGAGATTTTGAAATCTAGTGATTTTGAGTTCTAGGGATATTGGGATCTAGGCATTTTGGTATCTAGAGATTTTGGGCTCTAGGGATATTGAGATCTAGGCATTTTGGTATCTAAGCATTGTGAGATCTAGGGATTTTTGAACATAGAGACTTAGCGTTTTGGGATTTTGGGATGTAGTAATTTTTGATATAGAAATTTGCAATATAGCAATTTAAGATACATGCATTTAGACATAGTTCGGTAGTGATATAAGAATACATAAATCTAGGGATATAACAATTTCGGAATATTAGAATTATGATGCATAGGGTACTTTTAACATGCTGATTCGAAGATACATGAACTAGGGAGTATAAAGATTTCCTAAATTAGTAATTTTCAATAGAGGAACTGTAAGAGTACATTTCATACTTTAATAAAATTAAAAAGCAAGCTAACAAATTATTTTATCAAAAACGAATTGAATTTCTCTCAATTTATTTCCACCTTATTACTGAACATAAAAAACCCCGAAACTTCCCTGTTGAAGGTTCTTCTGCATCTTCGTTAGTTTTCGAGATGTACTTGTGGGTCGGAACTTTGAAGGGTAGTTTCATCCCCCTAAGTCGCGTCTCATCCGACGAGAGGAGTACATATTCCTTATTTACAAAGTTCCATGAAAATCGAAGAGGGACACTGCGTCGCGTCTTCTTTTTAGTTTCTTTCATCATCTTAAATATCGTGGCAGCGATGATATTTGTTCCTGTCAAGCGGTTACATACCGTCGAGTAGTATCCCCTCGCACGAACCGTCTCACGTCACATCCTCATTCATGAACTTGTTAATAACGAGACATTGTTTACGTACAATTAATCCCAAGCAATCTACGAGCAACGCGTAGGCTTCCCAAAGGACGAACCGCTGATATATTCGTCGTAGGGTCAGCCGTGATGCCGTGCTCGATAATTTTCATTCGCGGCACGTTTTGTACGAGGAATCACGTTGCGTAAGCATTCCTCTATATACGGTTGGGTTGGATCGCGTGTGTTGAAGTTTGACTCGTCAACGAAGTCCACTGATTAATTCCTCTTACATTTTGGTTTGCGTGCGAGCATTTGTACGAATATTTACACGCGAAAGTGTAATCTCGCGATTATATAGTTTGGACATTTTGTCGATTAGTATTGGAATCGTGGTGTTGAATACATGTTATATTGCCAGAGAAATGGTGTCATTTTTTTGGTACGTAGGAGAATGCTTTTGTTCTGCTTTGTATAGTCGTGCTATGTATCACCACACTTTCGTATTGTAACGCCTATATTGCTACGCCTCCGTGCAGTCGCATCTGTGTATTGGCAGTTCCCTTAGTGCTGCAAATCTGTGTTGGCACGTTTCGTGTTACTACGCCCCCACATTGGCACGCCCCCATATTGCCACGTCCTATTTTATTACACTTTCATATTGCTACGCCTCATATTGTTACGCCTTCATATTGCTAGGATCCTATATTGCTATGTCCCCATAGTGCAACGTTCTTATATTGCTGCACATTGATAGTGCAACGCTATCATATTGCTGCACCCCTATATTGCAACGCCCCATATTGCAACGCCTCTATATTGACATGCCCCTATATTGCAACGTCCCAAATTGCAGCGCCCCCATATTACTACACGCCCACATCTCCATGCCCTCATATATGCACTCTGCACTATCACACCACGCCCCCATATTGCAACGCCTCCATACTGACACGCCCCTATATTGCAACGCCCCATATTGCAAACGCCCCATATTGCAACGCCCCATATTGCAACGCCCCTATATTGCAACGCCCCATATTGCAACGCCCCCATATTACTACACGCCCACATCTCTACGCCTTTATAACTGCACTCTGCACTATCACACCACGCCCCCTTATTACCACGCCTCATTTTACCACGCCCCATATTACCTCGCCCCCTAATTTTCCAAATAAAATTTTAATTATGATCAAAAGCAGTACAGTTTAAATTCTAATTTAGTTTTTTTATGGCTAAAGAACGGTTCTAGCCTTCTTAACGTTTCGCTGCGAATTGCAACTCAAGCTTGTTTACGATGAATAAGGTATCGTAACGTGGAACGTAGAGGATGTTACTACTTCGATAAAAATAAGTTTGGTACGGATTGGAATCGATTCGAAGAGACAGACGCTTTGGCGTCGCTGTTCGAACGTTCTTACGTAAACGTCAAATAATATTAGCATGAACAATGGAAGGGTAACAGACGTAAAAAAGAAGCGAGAGGGAGAGACAGAGAGGTCAGGGGGTGAATTACAAGGTTGCTCAAAGTAGCAAGATTTAACTTGATGTGTGTGGAGGTATTGTTCGTGTATAGGGACGGTCAGGTGGTAGAGAAACCTCAGTAAGTCATATTAAATAAAAAAAACCTTGTATTGGACTATTCGGTGAAGTGTGTAATGAAGCTGGTGGCGTTAATTTTCATATTTATAAATGTTTGAATTTTTAAATTGAGAAATTTATGCGGTCGCATCTTTGGATGTTATAATCTTCAAATCTTCAAAACTTCAAGTCTGCAAATTTTTAAATCTTCAAATTTTCAAATCTTCAAATCTTCAAATTTTCAAATCTTTAAATCTCCAAATCTAACAATCTCTAAATCTCCAAATTCTCAAATCCCCAAATCCCCAATTTCTCAAACCTCCAAATCTCTAAATCTCCAAATGTCATATCCTCAAGTGCCAAAAATGATAAACATTTAAATACGCAAAATATTAAGTCCCTACGTCGTTCCAAGATGGCGCAACACCCGCCTGCAGCTCCACATTCCATACTAAACGTACAAAAGAATGCGCTTGTTAAGACATTGCAATTGCAACGTCAGCAGAAGTAACCAATTTGCAAGAAGGATCATATTTCAGGACAAACGACAACTTCAAATATTCAGTTCGTACAGTTTATTGAAGTACACTTTCACGATAATATTAGCTTTGGTACACGGCAAACTGCTTGTTGCAGCTGCATGATGAACGTGAATCGATGATATATCATATGTACGAGTGACTGTTCTCATTATCTTTTCATAGCAAAGGACGGATATACACGTCCTCGAAAATCGGTCATTGATTGCGACGTACGTACGTACGTGTACGGTTATCGATCGGAATTCGACATTATTAATATTGTCTATAGATTTTTCCGTAACGGTTCTAGGAAAAATTAATGGGTAATATTAATAATGTTGAATTCCGATCGATAACCCTATATCTACTTACGTTCGTCGCAATCAACGATCTTCAAGAACGTGCTGTCCTCTGTAATGAAAAGATAATGAAAACTGTCCTGATACGTGGACGAAACGGGACGAAGAGATGAAGAAGTCAACCATGTTTATTCACTGATGCAATATGAGGAATCTGAAACAACAAAATTGTGCGAATTATGCGGACGAAGCTTTTAAGTCAGCGTTTTTCAACTATCACCGTGACAATGTTATATGATAGCACAATCGTGTAAATGGTGCAACTCTTAAAATTTATATGTGCAGATACATACATGTGTATATTAATTGGTGCATTTTTGGGTATTTATATCCCTAGATATCTGAATTGATAGATATTTATATTTATAGATACATGCATAGGTATATACACATGTAGATATCTATGTCTCTACGTATGTCCACTTGGTGACCTAAATTGTTATGTCTCTAGACTTTCACTAGAAGTGCAAATTGTACGTTGCTAAATTCTTATGTTAGAATCCTTCAAATCTTTATGTCTTCATATTATCGTAGGATCAAATCTCATATCTAAGATACTGTATAACAAATTTGTACCTGAAGTCGCTGATACGATCCAGTCTAAGTAAGCACCGACTCTGGTATTTAGACCAGCGGTGACACCACAGTCTGTACCTGCGCTGATGACTGCTACAAGTACAAGTCTCTTGGTGGTAGGGTTCTGCCACAACACTGGACCGCCACTGTCAAACTGCGCACAGACCAACCTTCCATAAGTGTTCGATTCTCAAAAACCTTAAATATCTCATAAGAAACTTGTATATTACCTGACAGGCGTCTTTGCCTTTGCCGTAAGTGCAAAGGCTAGCTCTGGTGACGTTTGGGTATACTTTCGAACACTCTAGGTTTGTCCATATGCTTAGAGTGACCTTCTGGAGGGTATCTGAGGGACCTTGGCCGAATTCCCTTGATCCCCAACCTGATTTAAAGAAAAATATTCGTGGCATGATTCGAGTGTCGTGGAATATGAGGACGCAGGGATTTGGTGGTGTAGGAGTTTTGGGAATACAGGGATCTGGGGGTGTAGGGATCTGGAGCGTCCAAATTTGGGGACATAGGAATCTGGGGCGTCCAAATTTGGGGACGTAGGAATTTGGGGCGTTCAAATTTTGGGATGTTGGAATTTGGGGCGTTCAAATTTGGAGATGTTGGAATTTGGATATGATTGGATTTGGGAATGTAGGAGTTTGGGGTATGGGGTTTGGAGACGTAGGAATCTGGGGGTATAGAGATATGGGGGCGTTCAAATTTGGAAATGTAGGAATTTGGGGCGTTCAAATTTGGAGATGTTGGAATTTAAATATGATTGGATTTGGGAATGTAGGAATTTGGGGTACAGAGTTTGGGGACGTAGGAATCTGGGGATGTAGAGATATGGGGGCGTTCAAATTTGGGGACGTAGGAATCTGGGGCGTTCAAATTTGGAGATGTTGGAATTTGGAGCGTTCAAATTTGGAGATGTTGGAATTTAGATATGATTGGATTTGGAAATATAGGAATTTGGGGTATAGGGTTTGGGGACGTAGGAATCTGGGGATATAGAGATACGGGGGCGTTCAAATTTGAAAATATAGGAATTTGGAGCGTTCAAATTTGGAGAAGTTGGAATTTGGATATGATTGTATTTAGAAATGTAGGAATTTAGGATATAGAATTTGGAGACGTAGGAATCTGGGGATATAGAAATCTGGGGGCGTTCAAATTTAGAGATTTGAATTTGCATATGAATGGATTTGGAACGTGTCACACCTCATACAACAATACTGAGATCTAGCATTATTATTAAAATGCTGGTATCTAAGAATAAATCCTTCACACTACCAACTTAACATTACTAGCAATTGCAACATTACCCAACGCTTCAACGAAATTGCCTCCAAAGGTATCCGGCTGATGTTGAAACGGTAGACAGGCCGGTCCAACTCGATTATTAAAAACAATTTGTGTCTCCGTCTTCACGAGAGCCATATCGTTAAAATTTCCTCTATTCCTATAGTCAGGGTGTATGAGAAATTGAATCACTTTATGCAACACCGCGGCATTGGTATCGTTACCTGAACATCAAAACCATTATATTTGAATCTGTAATTTGGCTCAAACCTGTGTATCAAGAAAGAAAAACGCTTTTACCTATGGATATATCATGATCGCCCACTAGGACACCAAAATCTGAGGTGTTTCTCTTATAGACACAGTGAGCTGCTGAGAGTACGTATCTGTTTGATATTATTGTACCTCCGCACCACACTCCGAGGATCGTGACGTCGATCAAGCCGGCCATCATTGGAAATTCGTTTACACCCGCTTCCACTCCACCGACGATTCTTGTCTAAAAGTACTCAACGCGTTTTATTCGATTGAAAAAATAAGGTGGGATTTCGGGACTTTGAAATATAAGGATTAAGGAGATATAAGGATTTCACTTTGGGTGATATAGGAATTTCTTTCCTGCTGAGGATCTGGGAGCGTTCCAATTTGGGGATGTAGGAATCTGGATACGAATGGATTTGGAAATGATCCAAAAGATTTGGGGTATAGGGCCTTCAAAACTTTGGGAATTTGAGACGTAGGGACTATTGTGATATTGAGAAGATAGGCATATGGGGACTAATGGCACGTAGGAACTGTTTGAGTATGTAAACTGTTAGGACATGGGGATTATTGGGATGTGAGAGCTTCTGGGAGTATGAGTATTGGGGCATAAGGACTATTGGAACATAAGAATTATTGCAGTACGATTACTACTACCACATAGTGGTTATTGGAACGTAGAACTAATTATGTTTCATAAAATTATGTTGGGATAATTGGACTTGCATAGTACTTACAGGATTTTTCCATCCACATCGGCAGTCCTGAGAATCCTGCGGTCTCTCAAGCGCCCTTGCCTCGCAAAGGAATCGACCACCCGTCGAGAATACAGATGTTGACAACTTCACCACCATCGTGGGATCAGTGGATGTTATATTGAAAGCGCCATTTCCACAATATTTATGCGAGGTGGTAGAATTAGTTTGGACCGTCAGTATATCTCCAATGCAATTTACAGTCTGCAACGATTATACGTTATTTTTCATTCTTTTGCTGTTTTATTGATGTATGGACATTTGATTGCCACGTCAGTCATATGTGTCGATGATTATGAAAATAGTCCAAGTTGTGAAAATACAGAATTGAATCTTCTACTTATTTTATCACTATCGCATAATGATTGATGTGATTAGTTTAGAGGGTATTTTTATAAAATTCTTCTAGTGCGATCAAGCGATATATAACTAGGTGAAATTTTGGGGGATTTTTTAAACTAGGAATTTTTTGGGAGGATAATTGTAAAGCTCATCTTACCCAGGGTAGTTCGAATGTGGTACAATGCAAGTTTACACGGTAGTCACTTTTTAGGGTCCACGCGCAATTATGCTGTCCTTCGTACTGATATGGATATTCGTTATTATAGACGTAATATGTATTGCCAACGATTAGGTTTTGAGCAAAGGTGCATCCGACATCGGCGGTTTGAGTTTCTTTGAAAATTAACAGGAGCCAACATAACACTGTTAGCGCTACTATAAAAGAAAAACAATCGTTTCTTATTAAAATGAAGTAATAAACTGAACTTAACTCGCAGCCGCACTATCGTAGAACATCAGAATATGTCACTTGTTGTGTAATCATAGATGTGTTATATTACCACGCGTTGTATCACCATACATTATATTGCCACGCATTATACCGCCACGCGTTGGATTATCGATACTTTACATTCCCACGAATTATATCACCACGCGTTAAAATATCGATGCACTATATTTCCACACGTTATATCGCCACGTGTAGTAATATCAACGTTTTCTCTTCCCTCGCGTTATATCGCCACGCGTTCGATTATTGACACCCTATATTCCCACGCGTTAAATTGTCGAAGCATTATATTTCTACGCGTTATATCGCCACGTGGAGCAATATCAACGTTTTTTCTTCCCTCGCGTTATATCGCCACGCGTTGAATTGTTGATACTTTATATTTCTACGCGTTAAAATGTCGAAGTACTATATTCCCACGCGTTATATCGCAAAATGTAGCAATATTAATGTTCTACTTTCCCTCGCGTTATATCGCCACGCATTGGAATATCGATACTTTATATTCCCACGAATTATATCACCACGCGTTAAAATTTCGATGCACTATATTTCCACGCGTTATATCGCCACGTGTAGTAATATCAACGTTTTCTCTTCCCTCGCGTTATATCGCCACGCGTTGGATTGTTGATACTTTATATTCCCACGCGTTAAAATGTCGAAGCATTATATTTCCACGCGTTATATCGCCACGTGTAGTAATATCAACGTTTTCTCTTCCCTCGCGTTATATCGCCACGCGTTGGATTGTTGATACTTTATATTCCCACGCGTTAAAATGTCGAAGCATTATATTTCCACGCGTTATATCGCCACGTGTAGTAATATCAACGTTTTATCTTCCCTCGCGTTATATCGCCACGCATTGGATTATTGATGCACTATATTCCCACGCGTTAAAATGTCGAAGTACTATATTCTCTCGCGTTATATCACCACGTGTACTAATATCAACACTTCAACTTCCCTCGCATTATATCGCCGCACGTTGAAATATCAATGCATCGCGTTCCCACGCGTTATATTGCCATGAGAGTCTACTAGAACCTCATATTAAATATATAGCCAATGAATTATCCGTTACTCGAGCATCCATGGCAATATAACAAGAGTCTACTGTATAATTCCAATTTCTTTACAATTAAACTTAAAAATATAGTTTAAACTATATTTTTCCTAGCATCAACCCAGTTATCCTACGCTTCCTAACATAATCGCTCATGAAAAATATAGGTCGTTCACCTGTCAGCTGTCAGTAACAGAAAACTATTCCGACCCGATCGAATTACCGAAAAATTTCCATTTCATACCGATCATCGAAACACAGTCTATCGTACAACGATCGTTATGATCGATTACCGATTCGGATCGAGATATAATATAATTACAACTGTAACGTGCCGATTAAAAAATCGATCGAAATTTCTAGACCGTCCTCGATGTCCTACGTACATACCTCTCGACATGATACTTCACGGTATATCGTTATCAGTCAAGAACTGATCATGCACTTGCTTGACCCGTAGATCTATCGTCGATACCGGTGCGAAAAGTTATTAGACACCGACTGCGACTATCTGGCCGTATTCGTGCGAATTTCAACGTCTTTTTATCCGTATCGCTAAGGCGAATTATAAACGAAGGCTAATATTTTGACGGTTGCTATCATATACGGCTTTATCAGTAGTAGCCGTAGCCTCGAAAATACAGGTAGATTTGCTACAATAACTACGCTTTCGCACACAATATGAAAATTATGTTTGTGTTCGTTTAGCATTTCCAGGGTTGCGCATGTATCAGTCCCCCGCTTATTTCGCAATATCGTTTTAATCATATGTTCCCTCCTGAACGATGCGTGAGAGATATCCGAGATACAAATATTATCGCATTAACGTAAGACAATCAAGTCTTCTAATCTCCATGATAATATCGAGAGCCACAATAAAAGATAAGTTCTATTTTTGTTTACAAGCACTTGTGTCGTAGTAATAAATGTTAATTGCTGTCGGATTCGTTTAATCGCGTGTGAAGCCCTTACGTGTGGAGGATAACATATTTGGGACATTGAGCATGATGGGAATATTTTGAGAAAGTAAAAATTTAAGTAGGTGGAATTTTTGGGGATTTGGAAATTTTTAAATTTTTGGAGATTTGGAAATTTTTGAATTTTGAGATTTGGCAATTTGGAGATCTGAAAATTTGAAATTTTGTGACTTGGGAGTGGGGTACTTGTTTTCGGAATTTAGGGATTTATGGCGGTGACGAAACTTCAGATAATGAATATCGAGGAAATTGAGGATTTAGGGATATTGGGATTTAGGGATTTGGGGATTTAGGGATTTAGGGATTTGTGGATTTAAATATATAGGTATTTAGATATGTAAAATATCTAAGGGATTTAGGGCTTTGGAAAATTATTTATTTCATATTTTGGAATATTAAAAGTTTAAGAAATTGGGGATTTAGGGATTGGGAAATTAGGGAGTGGGAATTTAGGGATTGGGAAGTTAGGAATTGGGAATTTAGAAACTGGAAATTTAGGGTTCCTTGGGAATTTAGGGATTGGGTATTTAGGGATCTGGAATTTAAGGATTGGGAATTTAGGGATTGGAAATTTAGGGATCGGGAAGTTAGGGATTGGGTATTTAGGTAACGGGAAATTAGGGATTGGGAAGTTAGGGATTAGGAATTTTGTGATTGGGAAGTTAGTGGTTGAAGATTTGGGAACTGGGAATTTAGGGTTCCTTGGGAATTTAGAGATCGGGAATTTAGGGATCGGAAAGTTAGGGATTGGGTATTTAGGGATCGGGAATTTAGGGATTGGGTATTTAGGTATCGGGAAATTAGGGATTGGGAAGTTAGGGATTAGGAATTTCATGATTAGGAAGTCAGTGATTGGAGATTTAGGAACTGGGAATTTAAGGTTCCTTAGGAATTTAGAGTTCGGGAATTTAGGTATCGGGAATTTAGAGATTGGGAAGTTAAAGATTGAGTGCGCAGACGCGAGACAGCTTCGAGCCTACTAGCTAAGCGCGCGTAGTCCTCGCGCTCTGATTGGTCCAGCGTCTTTCCTTAATAATTCAAAAACTCATCTGCAAATCCCATTTTCACAAAGGGAAATCTTATTCAGAATCATGTCAGATACCCTCCATTTCAAGGATCTACACTAATTATGAAACACCCTATATTTTCCTACACAGCAAAGTTCCCCATCACTCCGCATACCTCTTCTTCCCACCTTCATCCCTTTTCATAAATGTCCATCATTTAAAACTTTAATCGTTCCAGTAATCATTCAGATAATGTATTGCGCGACAAATTTGTGAGCAAATATCGCAAAACGACTGATACGTCCGAACAAGAAAACAATATTTAACGAAAAGCACTTTCCTTGTAACGTCATTTTATATTATTAAAATAAATACCCGTATTGTGTTACATTATCGGGATCATTACCATTAAATGTCTAGTGTCGTGATGAACAGATAAAACATTGGTAACAAAAACAATAATCTACGACAAAACGTGAAAAGATAATTGCGCGTTTGACAACATAATTATGCTACCATTAACGACGTAAAACTCGGTATCGGGAACGAGGATAATTTCATAATTAATTAAACGCATTTTGTTTTTAATCAGGTTTAATTAGGAGATAAGCGGAACAATGTAAATAATGCATCTCGAATTTTTTAATCAACGATTTTCGCGATAAAGAGTATATCGAATACGTATCTATTAATAAAGTACAAGTATTATAATTAATATTTGAATTAATTATTAAATGTCCGAAATTAAATTTCTGTTGCGTGAAAGCACTTGGACTATTTTTGTACCTTCGTGAAATTATCGTAGAACTCTTCGAGAGATATATAAATATTTATTCTGTGTTGTTTATGTCTAAAATGTTCAAGAACGCGGTATTTCTATAAATTATAGTAATTAGACATAAATAAATTTTTATTCGGTAATAAATTTTTAGCGAAGTTCATTGTTTAGTGTAGTCTTAGATTTTGTATGGATGATCTTTATTGCAAGGTGAGGATCTATTAAAAATGTAGATAAATATAATAATAGTAGTAAATTATAATAATAGACTATATTATAATATTATAAATTATAGTAATATTTAGTGGCAATATTTAATAATAAATTTTATGCAAATACACCACCTAGATACTATTGATGCAGTACCTAATTCTTTTAAGCCTGTACTAAATTAAAATCGTAAAATTGTATAAATATAAGATAAAAAGCAAGTTTCATGGGTGTGTCATAGAATAAACCATTACAAAAACATTTGTGTATGCATATAGAGCCATAATTCATTAGTTATAAATAATTCTTCATATAAGGAAAATTGACAATTCGAGGCAATTCACATACCGGATTTAAATCTTTCAGATAACGAGTGAATGTTTGCTTTGATGAATTGTTTGCAACTAATAAACCACAATCTCCTTATAACTTGTGTCAAGAATTTTTATCCTATAATACTCGTCGAAACAAAGTGTTATAAATTCCAGTATAGTCTTCTACATTACACTATAAATAAGTTTTTAAAAGTTACCGCTGAAAATAATTAGTTTCAGGGTTATATTAGAACACCATCGTAACTTCAAATATTTATTTCAATTTTTAAATACAGTTGTAACATTTTTTAGGAAATTTGTTATTAATACAGTTGTACAGATCCATCGGTAATACTGATAAATAGGGTGGTTCATGTAAAACTACCCTCAATTATAAAATATCTAAAACTTCGACAATTTCATCGAATAACAATATTCTCAAGTTAAAGTAGCTTTTGTATCATTTGATAACTTTAACTTAATTCAATAACTTTTGCTTTCAATAACTTAATTCAATGACTTTAGCTTTCAACAACTTAATTCGATAAATAAATAATATTTATACATTAACACCCTGTAAATATACTTGCAAGAAAAATCTCTGGATACTAGTATAGAAAATAAATAACCGTGCACGTGGATAAATTCTTTACAGTCCGGATGTTCCGAGGACGTGTATATCCGTCCTTCGCAATGAAAATATAATAGGAAATGTATCGAGAAACCTACGGGGTATGTAGGTTTACTCACTGATGCAATACGAGGCATCTGAAACACCAAAATCGTGAGAATTATGTGAAGGCAGCTCTTAAATTGGAGTTTCCCAACCTTTGTGTATTCATGACCCCATTTTGTAATAGTTGTATAATTCTCGCGTAAGTCGTACACTTATCAATGTCTATATTCTTAGGTAATTCTTGGATACTTATGATAGTAGAGAGGTATATTTTTAGGTATTTAAATGTCTGAATGTTCTTATTTTTAGTTGTGGACATCTTTAGGTACTTAGGTCTTTAGATAGATATTATTAGGTCTCTAGATAGATACTTAGGTCTCTGGATAGATACTTAGGTCTGTAGATAGATACTTAGGTCTCTGGATAGATATTTAGGTCTCTAAATAGATACTTAGGTCTGTAGATAGATACTTAGGTCTCTGGATAGATATTAAGGTCTCTAAATAGATATTTAGGTCTTTAGATAGATACTTAGCTCTTTAGATAGATACTTAGCTCTTTAGATAGATACTTACGTCTGTAGATAGATATTTAGCTCTCTAGGTAGATACCTGGCTCTTTAGATAGATACTTAGGTCTGTAGATAGATACTTAAGTCTCTAGATAGATACTTAGCTCTCTAAATAGATACTTAGCTCTCTAGATAGATATTTAGCTCACTAGACAAATACTTAGGTCTCTAGATAAATGCATTTGTGGATATCTACCTATGTACTTAGATACGTTTAGCTTTAGATATCTAGATCTATAGACATCTACACCTGAAGATATCTATGTCTCCAGATACCTAGATATTTAGGTACCTCTGTATTCAGATACCTAAATAGTTAGGTACCTATGTACTTAGATACCTAGATCCTTAGGTACCTATGTCTCCAGATACCTAGACACTTAGGTACCTATGTCTCCAGATATATAAACACTTTGGTACCTATGTCTCCAGATACCTAGGTACTTAGGTACCTATGTACTTAGATACCCAGATACTTAGGTACCTACGTCCAAAAACACCTAGACCCTTAGGTATCTACATCCAAAGCCTAGGTACCTTGATACCTCTAAAAGCCTAAATATTTATATCCATCATTAAGTAGACCATCATTGAAGCAGTACACTATTGAAGATACATCATCTTCAAATCCACGAAAACATAGATCCTCAAAACCTCCACATCTTCATGTACTCCTCCCTCTTACAGTTGTTCTATCATATTTAGCTTGTAAACAATAAAACAAAATGCAATTCTACAGCACTGTGATCATGCCTCTTTAATATTGACTTAACCATATCGACATATAATATTGAATCCATCATATCCACATATATAATATTCAATCAAATAACGATCTCGTCAGGGGTCACGAGACACAGGTTGGGAACCCAGTATCTTAGACCATCTCAAGAGCCGTACCTGAAGTAACCGAAACGATCCAATCAGTGTAAGCACCGACCCTCATATTCAAACTCGGGAAAATACCGCAATCGATACCCTGATTGATCACTCCTATAAGTACAAGTCGTCTGCTGGTAGGATTCTGCCACAGAACTGGCCCACCGCTGTCCATCTGTACATCGCGATCAAACTTGGGGTCTTATATACAAGTGATCCAGACTTGTGTCTTACCTGACAGCTGTCTTTGCCTTGGCCGTAAGTGCAAAGTCGGGACGAGGTTACGTTCTGGTATGTTTTAGAACATTCTAGGTTGGTCAGTACACTTAGGCTAACTTTTTGGAGGACTGTGGGTGGTAGACCGCCGAACTCCGTCAAACCCCAACCTGGTTTTAATACAAATGCTTAATCTTTGGGGCAAGGTGAGGTAATCGATGTTCTATAAGCAAGTAATTGGGATTCTTCAATATTTTTCTGTTCTTACGCTTTTACAGGTATTATAATTTTTGGAGACGTTGAATTAGGGGATATGTGGATGTGGTGGTTTAGGGATTTGGAGGTTTGGAGTATGGGGATTTAGAGATTTGGGAGGTTAAGGGAATTTGGGATATGTGGATGTGGCGATTTAGGGATTTGGGGATATGTGGATGTGACGATTTAGGGATTTGGGGGTGTGAGATATGGGGACCTAGGGATTTGGGGAATTAAGGGAATTTGAGGATATGTGGATGTGGCGGTTTGGGGATTTGGGGGTGTGGGATATGGGGACCTAGAGATTTGGGGAATTAAGGGAATTTGGGGATATGTGGATGTGGCGATTTAGGGATTTGGGGGTCTGGGATATGGGGACCTAGGGATTTGGGGAATTAAGGGAGTTTGGAGATATATGGATATGGCGATTTAAGGATTTGGGGATCTGGGATAAGGGGATCTAGGGATTTGGGGAATTAAGGGAATTTGAGGATATGTGGATGTAGCAATTTAGGGATTTGGGGGTGTGGGATATGGGGACCTAGAGATTTGGAGAATTAAGGGAATTTGAGAATATGTGGATGTGGCAATTTAGGGATTTGGGGGTGTGGGATATGGGGACCTAGAGATTTGGAGAATTAAGGGAATTTGAGAATATGTGGATGTGGCAATTTAGGGATTTGGGGGTGTGGGATATGGGGACCTAGAGATTTGGGGAATTAAGGGAATTTGGGGATATGTGGATGTGGCGATTTAGGGATTTGGGGGTCTGGGATATGGGGACCTAGGGATTTGGGGAATTAAGGGAGTTTGGAGATATATGGATATGGCGATTTAAGGATTTGGGGATCTGGGATAAGGGGATCTAGGGATTTGGGGAATTAAGGGAATTTAGGGATATGTGGATGTGGCAATTTAGGGATTTGGGGGTGTGGGATATGGGGACCTAGAGATTTGGAGAATTAAGGGAATTTGAGAATATGTGGATGTGGCAATTTAGGGATTTGGGGGTGTGGGAAATGGGGACCTAGGGATTTGAGGAATTAAGGGAATTTGAGGATATGTGGATGTAGCAATTTAGGGATTTGGGGGTGTGGGATATGGAAACCTAGAGATTTGAGGAACTGAGGAAATTTGGGGATATGTGGATGTGCCAATTTAGGGACTTGGAAGTCTAGGATTTGGGAATCTAAAGATTTGGGGAATTAAGGGTATTTAGGATTAATCTCGGAATGTAAAGATGGAATCTACAGATTTGGGGTACTAGTGTTAGTGCCACATGAGGATCTACAGATGTGAGGATTTAAGAATCTCAGGATTCAGAGATGAAATCTAAAGACTTGTGGTACTAGTGCCATTAAAATCCAGCTATTTACAAACAAAAACTTTTGCAATCATAGAAATTCAGAAATAACTTCTCCTTCACAAAAAATTTGTGGATACAAAAATGCTAGATTCTAAGACACTGATGGATACTGGAATCTGATATTGGAATCATGAGGATTCTATACCCTACTTTCCATTACATATACCAGTCACATTAATCTCTGTCCAGCACCATTACCCAATAGTTCAACGTAACTTCCTCCAAACGTGTCCGGCGAGTGTTGGAACGGTAAACAAGCTGGTCCAACCTGGTTGCTAAACTTTATTTCCAGTTCCGCTTTTACAATAGCTATATCATTTACGTCCGGATTTTTGCGGTAGTCAGGGTGTATGGTAATACTCCTCAGTCTATGCAATACAGTGGCATTTGTATCCGTGCCTAAACATCAAAATCAGACACCACTGGCTAAGTACAGAAGACAACCCACGAGTTAACACATCGACATTGTCCATTACTGAAATATGATCCTCAAGAAGGTTTCCTACCTGTGCGCAAGTCATGATCGCCTACGAGAAGACCATAATCTCTAGGCTCTGTCCCGTTTTTGAAACAATGAGCCGCTGTGGTTGCGTATCTGTTTGATATTATTGTGGAGCCACAAGTTATGTTACGCTGCCTGAAATCGACTAGGCCCGCCATCATGGGGAATTCGTTCACTCCTGCGTCCATTCCGCCGACGATTTTGTTCTAAATATGGCGGAGTTTTGTTTCATTGATGAAAATTCACTCGATAGATTCACTTGATAGGTCATTGAAATATGGTTTGGGTTTGATATGAGAGTATAATAGAAAGCAGGGATTGGATTTTGGGGAGATGGTACTTTGAGAATTTTTAACTTTGGTATATGGGGATTTTTAGAATTTCAGAAGTTTGAGGAGTTTGGGAGTTTAGGACTTTGGGGTTTTAGGAATTTGGAGAGTAGAAAATTGGGATTTTGGGGACCTGGGGCTGTTAGGAGGTGGGAATTTTAGAAATTTGGGATCATAGAGAGCTAAGATTTTGAGAATCTGGAAATTTGGGAATTTGGAAACTTAGAAGTTTGGAACTTTAGGAATTTAGAAAGCAGGAAATTGGGGGTTTGAGAACTGGGGGTCTTAGGAGGTGGGAACTTTAGAAATTTGGGATCATAGAGAGCTAAGAGTTTGAGAACCTGGGAATTTGGGAATTTGGAAACTTAGAAGTTTGGAACTTTAGGAATTTGGACCTTAGAATGCTGGGACGTGGGAATTCTGGAGCTTAGAGCCTTGGAACCCTAGGAATTTGGGGCTAGTTGTGATCATAGAACCTTGGAATGTTAGGACCTCTGAAGTTTGCAACTTTGGGAATTTGGAATTTCAGTAATGTGGGACTTAGGAAATTTAAAGCCTCAGAAAATTAGAACTTGGGAGATTTGAGACCTCAGAAATTTGGGACTTGAGAAATTTGAAACTTCAGAAACTTGGAACTTGGGAGATTTGAAACCTCAGAAGCTTGGAACTTGAAAAATTTAAAACCTCAAAAAATTGGAACTTGGGAAATTTGATGCCTCAGAAAATTGGAACTCGGGAAATTTGATGCCTCAGAAATTTGGGACTTAGGAAATTTGAAACTTCAGAAAATTGGGACTTGGGAGATTTGAGACCTCAGAAATTTGGAACTTGAGAAATTTAAAACCTCAGAAAATTAGAACTTGAGAAATTGGAGACCTCAGAAATTTGGGACTTAGGAAATTTGATGCCTCAGAAATTTGAGACTCCATTTTGTGACCTTCAAAATGGCGGACTTCAGACCTTAGAATTAAACCTAATGACTCCAGAATAGGCTCTGTGACTTTGGGACTCATAGTCTACGTGATTGAAAAAGTATACGTACAGGATTCCGCCATCCACACTCACAACCCTCAGCATCCGACGGTTTTTTAACCGCCATTACATCGCAGAGGAATCGACCACCCGTCGACCATACAGATGCAAATAGCTTCACTACCATTGTGGGTCCATCGGATGTAACATTGACCGCATCATTGCCACAAAATCTATGTATACTATTAGAACTAGCTTCGACGGTCAAGTTATCTAACAAACAACGGAAGCCCTGCAATGTGCATTTTATTATTTCATTGCTGTGCAATATCGTTTCCTATCACTCTGCGATGAAAGTGGAATTTCACGATAATTATCTTACCGACGGTAATTCGAATAGCTTGCAAACCACGTTAACGCGATAGTCGCTGTTTATTGTCCACGAGCATGACTGTGGTCCTCGATATGGTTTCGGAAATTCGGGATTGTAAATGTAATAGTCTTCTTCGGAGGTGAGATTGTGGACGTAAGTGCAGTTTGTCTCTGTAGTTTCGTCTGCTTTGACGAATGGCGTGAGCCAACATAATGATAGCATAACTGTAAAAAAATATTTTCTGACAAAATGAGGAGGAACTCGTTATATTGCTTCGTTATATTTCATACTCTCACATGTGACTCTCATACATGGAACATAAGTGTACTTGTTATATAGCCACCCGTTATATGGCCACATGACTATGCATTATAAGAACTTGATTTTTTATTATGATGATATATAGAAAATAGTAAATATTTGATACAAAATTAATTGTAGATTAATATTACAGCATATTATAGTGAATTAAGCCAATAAAATCAATAATAATTGGATTTTTATTAACCCTTTGCGCTCGAGATGTGACTCTCAGTCGCCATTTTATTTAATACAATAATTTAAAATAAGCATTTTTTTAACGATTCTATGATATGACACGTGAGATGTATAAACACAGTGAAACAATAGTGGGAATTATTGGTAGAGAAATAATAACCTCAAAAGAATTCATTTAAATTTTTAAATGAGTTTTAAAGTTGCTGTTTGCAAACTGTCAAATTCTTTGCAAACAATCAAATTGCAAAAAGGTCAAATTCGTTGCAAACAATCAAATTGCAAACAGTCGAACCTTTAAGTGCTTCGAGTGCAAAGGGTTACATTTGTTATAAACAATTATTACAGCAGAAAGTGTAAAAAGGCAATGAATTATATGAAAGCGACTACCGACGCCAACCGAGGCAAGGGTACCAACGCTATTACAACGCGGGGAATTACGGTGCCTGGAATAACGACGCGTGGAACTACGACGCGTGGAATTACAACGCGCGGATCTACGACGGGGGAATTAATAACGCGTGGAATTAATAACACGTGGAATTATGACGCATGGAATTAAGAACGCGTGGAATTACTACGCGTGGAACTACGACGTGTTGAATTACAACGCGTGGAATTATAACGCGGTAATATGATCCGTGGAATTACGGCGCATGAAATTACGACGCATTGAATTAATAACGCGTGAAATTACGACGCGTGGAAATAATAACGCGTGGAACTACAACTCGTGGAATTACAATGCGTGGAATTACAACGCGTAGAATTATAACACGTGGAATTATATTTTCGAACCCGGTGTTCAAAAATAGTACCGTCAGCGCCATCTACTAAAGTATCTTACAAACACGATAAAATTAGGCTTATATACCTACAGTAGAAATAGTACATTCAAAAATAAAAATAATTCTATTTTATCGACAAAAAAGTGTTTAGCCATCCAGCGGTGAAAAATGAAAACTAATGAAACTAAATTTTAAGTACAATTTATTTTTTGACTTTCATCATCAGATAACATTGTCAGATCGTTCTAATATTAATTAATATTGCTTTTCGAAGAAACTTGATTCGTACTATAGTAAATTATGCAGTAAAATCGATATTAATTACATTTTTTATAAAAATAGTATTAGTGGCGCCATCTCTCCGGCGAACAGGGTGAACTACACGGTTTTGAAACAGCTCCTTCATTAGTTCCCGAAACTGCCGTTAGGGGGCGCTAAGGCTTATGTGCTGCCGTCTAGTGGTGGAAAATGGAACTAATTAAAGTAGAGTTTGAAAAGTGTGTAGTTCACCCTGTTCGCCGGGGAGATGGCGCCACTTGTTCAATTATTATTTTTTTTTTTTAATTTAATTAATACTGATTTTATTGATTAATTAGCTATTTATTTATCATATATTTATTAATATTAATTTTATATTGATAGCAATGTATTCCGTGGGCCCGAAGATGTAGATTATATTTTAAGAACAGATCGCACACTATACTGTGTCTCGTCGATGATGCAGGGAATGACATAAGAATGGGGCAAAACTTTCCTCCGAGTCACCAAAAACCATTTTCACACATATCTTTTTTTGGTAAAAAAGAGCTTACTTGCAAAATTAGTTTGATATCGAAGCATGACGATTTCCCGAAGTTTTGCCCAATTTTGTATTTCGATAATTTCATGCGTAACTAAATGGTGACAGTGGTCTGTTCTTGAAAAAATTGTACCATTTAGTTTTCATTCTCACAACTAGATGACACTGCCCGTACCATTTTCAGAACGAATAACCCAATATATTTCTAATCTCCACCACTAGATGATGACAGTGTTCCAATATATAAAACGTATTTAAAAAGTTGTTTATAACCAATAAAGCGTATGTTTAATACGTGTTAAATTGTTGCTATATATCTTTGAAAAATTGTTCTTTGTGAAACATATCCTAATTTCTAAACTAGTTATATGATACCATATCATTGAATTAAATTGGTTGCCATGGAAATGATAGAATCACAAACTTGGACAATAAAAACATATTGGAACAGTCGAACGCAAGCGCGCATATTTTTCGCAAATTTAAATAGATTAAATAGATTTGCAATGAATTCGTGGCGTAAAAGTCGTTTAACGTTTAAGTATTTTGATCAGTCTTGATGTGATGTGTTTTATGTAAGATGTAAAATTTAACAATGGCTAGTTATGAGGGCAATGTGGAGCAGGGAAAAAAGAAGGTAATACATTTTTTTTAGAGATTTTGTCTTTTATTTTGATACATAAGATGTTTTGTATATAGCACAGTTACAGAAGAGCATCCTTTATAAATAGTAGTTCTGAGACTAGTAAGCCAGTTTATTGTCGCAGACGTGCTTCAAAAGCTAAACATACGCTTAAATCTCATGGGGCTCATAAAAATTCGTCAGATTGGAACATAGATGATATGGATGATAATGACGATAATATATCAATAAGGCATAAGAAACGTGATCATGGAAAAAATAAGAAAGCACATAGTAATAGTGAAGTACAAAAACAATCATTTGAAGACGATGTTGAATTAGATACTATTAGTAAGTATAAGTTAAAACATATTCTGTTTTATGCATAAATAATGCTTAAAATAATATTTTCTTACAGCAGATGTGTCTTCAAAAATAAGGAACAAACATCCTTCTAAAGATTCCCTAAGAATAGCTAATGAATATCATAAATTAGAAAAACGATATAAACATGTTGAAGAGGAATGTCAAAAACTAGGTACTTTATTAGAGCAACGAGAAATAGAATATAAAAGTATATGTTCACATTATGAAACCTTAATTCATATGGTACGAGAACTGGAAGAGGCAAAAGCTGAGCTAACAAAACGCAATGAGAGACTTGAAACACAGAAAGTTCAATCAAATGAAGATATATTACTTTTAAAAAATATTGTCTATCAATTAAATGCTGAACTGGAGAGGTATCAAGATAAATTAAGAGATCATAAACTTGAGATCAATTCTGTGAATGTAGAAAGTGGTGAAAAAGAAGAGAGGTACAATCACAGAGTATGGGGAAGCATTAATTTTCATGCATTAGGCCCACTGTTGAATGCCTATCAAGAGAATATATCAGAAAAACGTGAACTTCTCCGCATGTATGAACAAGAGATGGCTGACTTTGGTAATAGATGTAAAGAAGTCATCACAGAGAATGAACTTATGCACAAGGAAGTAGAAGAATTAAAGTTAGAGGTAATCATTACTTAAAGTCTGAGGTAAATTATCTGTGTAATCTGAATAACATTTAAATAAAATTTGCAGTGTAATGGATATGCAAAAGAAATTACGACATTGGTTGAAAATACAGCATCTTTGAAGAAGCAGAACGATCTGTTGCAAAAGGAAGCTGCAAATTTAAAAAGGGAATCTGCTGAAATACGATCATCATACGAATTAAAAATGGAAATAATTTTGAAGCGCAACGAAGCGCTCAGAAAAGAAAATATGTCCTGCGCATCGGAACTGAACAACCTGCGCGGGAAATACGAAATTTTAAGCAAAGAATTTGAAAAAATGAAAAACAAAGAGGATCAAACGATACCAACGACCGTCCACACTGCCGCCATCGAAGAATGTAAAAAACTGTTAGACGAATTAAAATATCGGTATGAAAATGAAAAACGAAATCTTTGCACTCAAATAAAACGCATGGAAGAGAATCAACCAGAGAACGAGAAAGAACTTGTGATGGCTATAGCCGAAAGAAATCACTTGAAAGGTCTAGTGGAAAACCTCGAGAAAAACTTGAAGTAAGATATCCATTGTTTTTCTGTTTCAAAGATCATTTTTATCTGTCTCATTCGCATGTATCATATACGTAGATTTTCTGCAGACGCACGCAACGCAAAATGGAGCATATGCAAGGCCTTGTTTATTCAACTCGAGTTTCACGTGATTCTCTCAAAGGACAGTTAAGTAAGGCAACTGCTTATTGCGAAGAATTATTTTCTGAATATGAGAGGATGGTCGCGGAAAGAGAAAAGTTGCTGACTCTTTTACGCGAAACAGAAAAAGAAAATGCAAACATCGATCGCCTTGGGAAGAGTATTACGAATCGGGTGGATGATTTGAAGAACCAATTAGAAGTGGGTATAAATTATTTAACATGTTAGCAGGATTGAGTACATAAAAGAGAAATTCCGGTATATTTCACATAACTGCTGTTTTCAGATTGTCCGAAGAGGTGCGAGACAGCAAGCAGAGTCTGCGGAAAAACGTATAAAGCTACAAGAACTACGTGTTCGCCGAATGAAGCGTATCTACCGACATAAAGTGCAGCATTTAAACGATATCATTAAGCAGAAAGAAGACATTATTGGAACGTTGCAGACAGAAAAACAAGTTAATAGAGATAAACTCCAAGCAGAAAATAACGACAGAGCTCAATCAGCCAAACCTAATAATCCATGATCTCAAAGTCATGTTGGAAAACATCAGCACATCGTTAACCTGATGATAAGATCATGTATGATACATTGGACTTTGAAACTGATATTCAACGAATCTCTTAATAAACATCTAATTATGGAATAGGTGTTACTCGAAAGATCGTCCTCGTATTTACCGACCGTGTCAGTCGCTTTATTTAGCGGTGACATCAAATGAAGCAAGTGGCCGCGAAGGCTACCGTTTGCCGCTATATGAATGGCCGATGGCGGTGGAGACTAATCTCCTAGTGAAAAGTTGATGTCATCCGTTATAGGTATGATGTCAGACACGTTCCATTCATTCATATGTAAATTACACCTGTTTTTAGTGGAAGGTCTTTTTTTACAAAATTTTATAATGTCAAGCATCGAATAATCATTAAATTTTAATACTTTATAACGCTAAATACATTCTGTCATTTATTTTCCTTCCTCTGTATCCTCGACTCCTTTCGCTGTTTTCAGGAATGCGAAGGAGGAATGTTTACTCGAAATAAAATTGGAAAGAGAAAAAATAAGTAGACAATACGTAAGCGAATAAGGAAAAAGATTATTGGATTGGGGAAAACGCATAGGGCGGTGGAGTGAGCACGCAGTGGCGTTGCGAATCGGGGCAGCAGCCGATTCAGTCGAGTTCGGAGACGGTCGACGGACTTCGGACAAATTCGTCAAAAGCAAAATGTCGTCTGCTAGGCGCGTCGTCAGGAACCGGGTCGTATTTCTAACTCGAATGTTGCTATGATAAGTGATAATGCGATGTCTCTGCGTACAAGTATTTAGTGTTTTTTATTGGAAAGTGTGTGAAAAAACGCAAAAGGATATACTACGAATTTGGTTGCCCCGTTGCCGACAAAGAAGTTCAACGAGAGTACCGGTGAACATTGATTTTTCCTGGTTTCGCATTCTACTCGACAGATGATCCGAACGGTAATGCACATCCTTCCTATTTCCTTAGATATCGTTACCGTAATGAGAATTTCAATGACTTCGTTCCTTTTAGAATCTACGTAGATCTAGATGAGATAGGATATCGTTTCATCCATATTGTATTACGTCGAACACATTGTTTGTTTCAAGATTCGAACTGATACGTACGAGCGAATCGGGAATTGCTTTTCATTATTTTCGGTCAAGCGGTTATCTTGATTAGACTCTTGAGCAAATGTCTTTTGCAGATGTCGCTGATTCTTGATACTGTACATCCCGTGTCTTTTACCTCGGAGACAAAACATTAGACCTCTATACGTTTCTAGAGTATCACGATTTTTTAACGCAGAATCAAAAAAATCATTCTATGATTATGTTATCGAAACGTAATTAATTATAGTTTCATTATAGTACAGAAACTGTAAGGTTAGGTTTAACGCGAATGCAATCCAGGTTATATCTTTTGTTTCGCCGAGAAGGAATGTTTTGAAATAAGAAAGTTGTTGTGTCTGGTTACTCAGTGGAAAAACAGCAGAAAGTATTTATTATGGTTTTGTATTCCGACAATTCTAAATTTGACGTAAAAAGAGAAAGGGGGAGAAAAGAACACTGCATGCGTGTAAACTGAGGTCTTTTGAAGCGTGGATGCAGAACGGATGTCGATGTTTTTGCGTGTAAAGTGAAAAAATAAATACTCGAAAGAGTTAAAAATTTCTGTCATAAACACTTTAATACACACAGCTGTTTTGTAGTAAAATTTGAGAAAAAAAATGATATTTTAGAAGGCTAAATATTTGAACTAATTACAATTCTACTCGTAGATGCATAGCGTAAGCAAGTAGTTCCGTTTGAAAGTAGAACGACGATATGTGTCTAAGAATTTACGCATATATCAATTTTTTATAACGTTGCTCGAGAATAAGTCTGACGCGATATTTTACCGCATCCGTTTCCGGCCCTTTCTATCGAACTTCTCTTAATCTTTTATCATAGCAATTAATAGCTTCACATATAGTAACTTTACTACTTCCATTATGAAATTTTTCGAAGAAAGCAGTGATTCACGAGTAACAACTTTCCCTCCCACTCGTGAGTCATAATTCAATCACTAAAATATTGATACGCTTCCTCCTTATGTACACTTGACGTTGCACACGTATCTTTATAAAAAGGTTCAAAAAAATTACGTTCCATGTTATGTCTTTTAGGTGTCTAAAATTATGTTAAGTATTTTCTGAAACCTATAATTCGATTATTGAAGCTGTATGGAAATTAGTTCATTATTTGGGTTAGGTTAGGATTAGGTTAAGTTCAGCTTAGGTTAGATTACCGATGACAGGTTAGGTCACATTAAATTTCATCATTGCCTAAGATTATATATGGTTCTACTTTTAGTAGGTTAAGGTTAGATTATCTACTTAAGTTATGGCAGTAACAGGTCATTGTATGCATAATTAACCTTTTTCTATTTGTATTTACAGAATGTTTCCAAAACGGAATAATGTGAAGAGCGATAGAATTAGAATAAAGATGTTTCGTCAAGTAAAATAGTAAAGAATCTTTGGGATCGTGACAGAGGTCTCAAAACGTACCAACGACAAGAATCTGCGAGGACGTGTCCGCGAGGTCGAGGCTGACCTAAACATTTGAGCCAAATCTAACCTGACCTAAGCGCCGCTGACGACAAAGATACGAAGCATCGGTGATTATCGGCGTGCACAGGAAGCACGTTGCGTCGTCGGATAGAAAAGTGATACCTGTCGCTCTATATCGTCAAGTTATTGGCGAAGCATCGTCGAAAGAACGCCAGACATTGTACGCTTTCCCTTGTACGTCGTCTCTTCGCCACCACCTCCCTCTTCCTTCCGTTACGGCGTGCAGTTCGTGCACTTCTACGCAGCGGTACACTGTACTGTACCCAACAGCGGCGTACAAGTAAATAAACGCGCGGCAATGGTGGATTCGAGTTCCACGTGCTTCCTGTACGACCAAACCGTTCTCGATTAGAGCAGGTTCCCCGAAAAGAAAAGGCTACGCGCGACGGAAGGAGAGAGATCGGAAACAACAAGGATGTCGTATCTAATATCGCGTGCAAAGTTGCCAGCTGCCTGCTGTCGATAACTGCGGTGCACTATTCGCCGCTGGTGGACGCTATCGAGCGAAGACGACGTAATACACGGCTCACTTGTGTGTCGCGGTTGTGAAATTGTCTAGTGGTTGTGAAAACAGTGCCAAGCGAGGGGAGTTGCATGAATATGGTGTAAGAAAGAAAAGAGAGGAAAGGTCGCAGAAGATTTTTTTTGGATAATGGAGTTCGAGCTGGACGGAAGCCTGAAGGAATGGGTAAAGGACAAACCATTGAGCATCCTGCAGCTCGATCCTGCTGACAGAGCCGTCTTACGGATTGCCGGTAAGTGTCAATTCGTTTCTACTTTCCGTTTTCGCAAGCCGGTTACGTGCGTACATGAATCCTCTACCGTCTTCCGCCTTTCGTTTTCCTTCAACGCGGAATTTAATTAATCACTCTCCACGCGCAATTATAACATTTCTACGTTCGCGTTTGAAAGAGCTATGCGTCTCTTTCTGCAAGAGGTTATTGATTAAGCGATTAATGTCTGGAAATTGAAAATATATGTCCCGTCACATAAATCGTGTTTATATGGCCCATTGTACGGCATTTTTTCAAGGTCATATTAACTCCACCGTGGAGCTAGTCATTTGTAATGCTAAATGCGTAAGGAAAAAATAGTAAATAGAACGTTGTATCGCACAATGTTGTATGCACGTAACTTCGGGCATTACCGGTTAATTGCAAAATGACTATCATTGTACGCACGAGTGTGCTAAATTACGTTGTACAGTGGCGACGTGTGTCGTGTTCCTACCACAACCACGAGTATCCTTATAGACAAGAATCGTGTACGTAATCGACCAGAATGGTAGCGTATAATGAGTTGTAAATTAATGACATTGCCGACAATCAATCATTCGGTCTTGTGTTTTTTTTACCTCGTGATACTCGTAATGTTCGACAATTACCGGGACACGTAATCGATGAAACTCTCAGTTAACCCCTATTTATTGTGTTCCTCGTTCGTCCTCTGTCGAATGTGCTCCTTATCGACAGTATCGATTCGTACGCAAGTCACGTGACTAGTGGAAATCGTACTACGCGGCGTTCGATTGTACCGTTCGAGTAATCGTAAACATTCCCGGTGTACGCGAAAACTGGCACGCGTGTACAACTCGTAGTAGACATTATCCACGTTGTACAGATTCCACGGATGTAGAAAACGAGAATTGTTTGCGGTACGATCTTGCGTCGACCTTCGACGAAGGGTGCTGACCGAGAACAGATACTCGAAACCATTCGAGAAATATCGAATTGCACTTGCCGATCATCTTACCGTGAGAATTTTTTTGCACTGCGCCTGCGCGACTCGATTATAAGTCGTTTCGCGCATCGTCTCGATCCTTCAACGAATTTTCGATCAAATAAATGTGTTGAAAAAAGAAATGTAATCAATTTAAACGCACGCGGACGTATGCATGTAGGACGCATCCGATTCGTGAAATTACAGGCTCTGATTCGCATTCACAAAAAGCCTGCGTGTTCGGTTCCGCACCATTTTCAAGCGGAGTCGTTTAGAACGATTCGATCGACGTAATAAACGTCGAGAGTCGATATCGATGTATCGCATCTCGGGCACGCGAGCATAATTGTTTCTAATTATAGTGACCTATCGGCGCGATATCACGAATGCTCTAGTAACCGTAAGTGTTCTACCGTCTTTATTAGGGTGCGTTTAGAGTTAACGATCGGGCGCATTCGTTTGTGCTCGTTCAGCTGTTATGAACTATTCGTCCATAACAAACAAATGAATGTTCACAGTGTTTACGATAGTCATCTTTAACCTTACTAATCTACTTTTTAACGTAAAGAACATACAACAATGAAACGGATTTCGAAATCATGACAAAGGTTAGTATCGAAACGATCAGTATGAAATCGCGTCTAGTCGAATTACAAGTCGTATCGAATCCTCTGTTGTGATCGAACAGTTTTATCGTTAACGATCGCAGACGTTCTCATTAATTTCTCCGATTAATTAATTGCTTTCCCGGAACGATCGAATCTCGACATGGAATGCGAGATTGGCTCCTTTAACTCGTTTCAACCGCCGCGATGAATGAAGACACTTGTGTAACGATCAAAGAGGCAGACAACCGACTAACCTACGATCCAACCTCGTCGCGTCGATGAACTCACGGTCGAGCTTTTTAACGGTCACGGTCCATGGAATCTGTTTGCAGGAGAGGTTATAGTAGTTCAACTGTGCCTACGCGGCTAGTAGGGAGCGGAGGCGGCAGGTTAGGTCGGTTCGTATTAATCTAGGAGCGTGGAGGCGGCAACAGGTGCTGCTCGGGTCACGGTTCGATGCCCCAGCCTCGGAACGTCTTCTCTTTTTCTCTTCCTTCTTTTTTTCACGCTCGCCTCCTTCTTTTTTCTCTGCCTTTACTTCCTTCCTTGCGCAGGTCCGTTTTATTTAGAGTTAGAGGCTGCCGGTGACATTGCAGTCGACAATCGATTGCGTAAAAATGGCTGCAGTCGATCTTTCGATTCTTTTACTTCCCTTTGCGGTTTCAATTATTTTTTTCTTTTGACTAAACACCTTCATTTATAACTCTAACCTAGGTTTTTTTTTTATAAATATTGTTTTATAAATTAGATATATAAATATTTTTTCATAAATTAGATATATAAATTTATAAAATAAATTTGGTTAGGTTTAAATTTATTTAAATTCATTTTATAAATTTGTATGGATAGAAATTGAATCGATGAACGGTATGAATATTACGACAATAATAAAATTATTAATATTAAGTTTTGTCGTGTAAACTGCAGGGTGAAAATTTTAAAGTTCAAGCTTATTCCTGTATTTAGTGTTTGATTAATTGTAAATAAAAAGATGTGAACATAAACAAAAATAGTATGAAGATGTAGCGTTTGATGTTGCGATTCCTACTTTTCTTTCAACACGAACGAGCTTTCACGGGTTGCTCGCTAGATGTCCCGGAGTACCTGGAGTGCCTGAAGAGTTCGGTGCATCCATGATTTATCTCCGTGAAAGCTTCTCATACGTATATAATCGGTGCGATGACATCAAAGGAAGGAATGATTATTAATCGACTTCACAAAACGGACTTTAACCCTCGGATATTATGAATCGTTTTCGAAATGTATAACAGACCACACAATGCGGGTTCTTTCTAATAAACGTAATCAAACCCTTGTTCTGGACAAATACAGTAGACCTCCAGTGAGAAGGATCTCGATTAATGGCGGTGATGGTTATTTGCGATAAATGGTACAGTAGACTCTCGTGTATTCTTTACTCTATAGTGACTAGTATTCTTATAGTAGTAACTAGAGATATAATAAATACAGTAGATACTTGTAGACAGACTTTTTATATACATAATTATGTACATCTAACTATCTCAATTTCAGTGATAAAAAGCGAGCAGTGCTTCACTCACCTGTCACCGAAAAATGTTCTAAGCAGCATCTCCGACAATTTCGAACATTCGAGGGCATTTTAGATCCTCACTAGACGCGATTGATCGAATCCGACGTTCACGAACAGACTAGATTTCACGGTAGAATTCTCTCGTTTTAATATATATTTCGTGTACTAATCTATGATTCGATCGGCGTACCGTTAGGAATGCACGTGAACTTGCCAAGAGAGGGTCATGAATATAAAAAAACAAAATAAAATAGTAGATAAAAAATTGTCGACTAGATCTAGGTCGTACGAGGCGGGAACATTGAACCGCTCGTACGGACTCATCGAATATGTAGTAGACATCACTAAATAACGTTAAACAGTGGGAATTATCTGTTTAGATTACGAGCCTCGGTCACAGGTAACAGTAGCCAAGTGCTGACATACACTAGCGTTCAAAAGTTACTTTCATGTGAATTATGGGGCTTTTAAGGAAAGAATGTATTGAAAGTAGCTGAAAAGGAAAACGGAACATTTTTTGTATTTGAGATTTTTTTTAATTACTTTTTTGTTGACTGAGTCACTCCTAGTGTTATTACTATTTACTAATGATATTTTTACCTGATTTTAATTTTTATGGTATTTGATATTTTTACAAATTTTTTTTATTGACCAAGTCATTGTTAGTGTTACTATTACCATTTAGGAATATTATATAATATTTTATATTCTATATATAGCATTTAATATTCTGAATGTACTCTGAGTATTTTGTAAATGATACTTTCACTTGATTTTAATTTTTGTATTTTACAATATTTTTTTTAAATTGCTTTTATATTGACCAAGTCATTACTAGTGTTACTATTACAATTTACTAATATTATCTAATATTTAACATTGTACATATAGTATTTAATATTCTGAATGTATTATGAGTATTTTGTCAATGATATTTTCACCTGAATTTAATTTTTGTACTTTACATAATTTTTTTTAAATTTTATCTCTATTGACCAAGTCATTACTAGTGTTATTATTACAATTTACTAATATTATCTAATATTTAATATTCTACATGTAGTATTTAATATTCTGAATATATTCTGAGTATTTTGTCAATGATATTTTCACCTAATTTTAATTTTTGTATTTTACAATATTTTTTTTAAATTGCATCTTTATTGACCAAGTCACTACTAGTGTTACTATTACAATTTACTAATATTATCTAATATTTAACACTCTACATATAGTATTTAACATCCTGAATATATTACAAATATTTTGTCAACAAAATTTCCACCTGATTTTAATTTTCATATTATTTAACAATTCTTCCAGTGTCTCCTTAAAAAGAATATTATTCTATACAAGTGCTATAATAAAATTTGTCTGTAACAAAATTTGTTGGTAAAGAAATGAAAATAAAATGATTTCGTTTTATATAAAAGAGTATAAGTAATGATCCGTACTTTTGAACGGTAATGTAATAATGGCGATATGCAACGCTCGTGCACCGAGCTATACATATCAAGCGAACAACCTTGCTTGGTAAAACTATGAGGATTCACCTGATTGTAATAACCTTATTTGCAACGTTACGGGTTGCATAAAAGTTGCAGGCTAGATGTGATTCATCGATACCAACGGAAAACGATGGAAGGTGAAACAAACGAACAACTCGCGAACCATTTGCATCGATTTCCAAGATGTGCACGTGTCCATTGCAACTTCTGTCTTCCACGAATTTCACAATTTTCATAACTCAATATTTTTGAATTCTATGATATTAGAATCTTTTTCCGAAAGATCTTGTTGAGTCCATAACTCAATATTTTTGAATTTTAAGATTTTAGAATTTTTTTTCTATACAGCTATGAATACGATACTAGTT